CTTTTCTTCTACTCTCTCATTTGACTTTTAAAATTCTTCTTGAGCTCCTCTAAGGAGGCTTTCTGCACTTCAGACCAGTTCATATTCCCTTTTGAGATTCCAGATGTGGGTTTGTTGACAATGTTTTCCTCTTCAGAATTTCTATCTTGATTTTCACTCTTCTCATAATATGAATCTGTGGTATGTTCCTTTTTGTCATGGTGTTTCTTTATTCCCTGGCCTATAAAGAGATTGAGCTCTCCTGCTGGGGAGCAGAGGGCGCTGACCCAAGCTTTTTGTGTTGGGAGCCTGGGGCCTGGTCAATGGCTTTGTGTGCTGGGGCCTCCAATGTTGGCGGTTGGAGGCTGTAGGATTCTGGCAGCTTACTTGGTGTTTGGCTGGAATCAGCAACACTGGAACTCTAGGGGTAGGATTGGGTAGTGTGGCTCCTGGAAATTTCCTGCTCCCCCAGGCCTTTCCTTCCTTTTGCTTTCTTCAGCTCCTTTCAGATGGATGTTGTAGGGTGTTTATCCACCTGGGACCCCTTGGCGCTGTGCTTCCCTTAGTTTTGCTGAGGCACTGGAAGAGCTGGCTGCTGTAGAATGCCAAGGCACATGGTGGGACTGATTGAAGAGAGATTAGTTTGGGGAAGATGGTGGACAAAAACAAAACATGAGAGAGACAGAGACAAATAGAGGGAAAATAGGAAGGAGGGAAATACACTGTAATTATAACCATCAATGTGAATGGGATGAACTGATTCATAAAAGGAAAATGAATAGCAGAATGGATTAAAAACCAGAATTCTGCAATGTGTTGTTTACAAGAAACATATCTGAGGCAAACAGAGAGAGAGAGACACCCAGAGAAGAGATAAGGGGCTATAACAGAATCTATTATGCTTCAACTGAAGTTAAAAAAAAAGCAGGTATAGAAATCATGATTTCAGACAAAGCAAAAGCTAAAATGGATATAAATAAAAAAAGATAAGGAATGAAACCTAATTTTGTTAAAGGTACATAGATAATAAAGTAATAACAATAGTAAACATATATGCACCAAATGGTATAGCATCTAAATTCTTCAGGGAAAGGTTAAATGAGTTACAGGAGGAAATAGACAGTAAAACTATATTTCTTAGCTAGTACCAGATTGTTGTGATGAATGTAGTTTGAGGTCTGGCACAGCTAGGTCACCTTCCTTTGATTTTTTTTTTCATTAATTCCCTTGATATTGTTGACCTTTTTGTTCTTCCCAATGAATTTATTATTTTTTCTAGCTTTATGAAATAATTTTGATAGTTTGATTGGTATGGCAAGAAATAAGTAAATAATTAAGGTAGAACTGTCATTTTTATTATTTGGCTCATCCTACTCTATTTTCTTAGTTATTTAGATCAGACTTGTGTGAAAAAGGTTTTGTAACTGTAATTGTAACCCAGTCCCTGGGTTTGTCTTGGCAGGCAGAATCTCAAGTATTTTATATTGTCTACAAGTATTTTAAGTGAAATTTCTCTTTCTATTTCTTGCTAATGGACTTTATTGGTAACACACAGAAATGCTGATGATTTATGTGAATTCATTTTATATCCTCTAAATTGACTGAAGTTGTTAATTGTTTCAACTAGTTTTTTGGTTGATTCTCTAGGATTCTCTAAGCATTCCATCATATCATCTGCAAAGATTGATAGTTTTGTTTCCTCCCTGCCTATTCTGATTCCTTCAATTTCTTCTTTCTTTCTCTTATTGCCATAGCTACCATTTCTAGTACAGTATTGAATAATACTGGACATCCTTGCTTTACCCCTGATCTTATTAGGAAAGCTTCTAGCTTATTCCCACTACATGTAATGCTTGTTAATGGCTTTTAGATAGATATTACTTATTTTTTTTTAATAAAAACTTCATTTATTCCTATACTTTTTAGTGTTTTAATAGGAATGGGTACTGCATTTTGTTAAAAAGCATTTTCTGCATTTGTTGAGATAATTATGATTTCTTTTCATTTTGCTATTGATATGGTCAATTATTAACACTGAATGAGTCCTTCATTAATGATATAAATCCCACCCAGTCATAGTGTACGATTCTGGTTATATATTGGTGTAATCTCCTTGCAGCATTTTAAAAAAATTTTTGCATCGATGTTCATTAGAGAGATTGGTCTATAGTTTTCTTTCTCTGTTTTGGTTCTTCCTGATTTAGATATCAGCACCATATTTGTGTCATAAAAATAATTTGGCAGGACTCTACCTATTTTTCCAAGAACTTTATGAAGTATTAAAACTAATTGTTCTTCACATATTGGGTAGAATTCATTTGTGAATCCATCTGTCCCTGGGGATTTTTTCTTAGGAAATTTATTGATGGCTTGTTCAATTTCCTTTTCTAAAATTGGATTACTTAAGTATTCTATTTCCTCTATTGTTAATCTTGGCAATTTCTATACCAAATCCATCTGGAAGAACAAAAGGTCAAGAATATTAATGGAATTAATGAAAAAAAATTGAAAGAAGGTGACCTAGCTGTGCCAGATCTCAAACAATATTGGTCAAAACAATCGGATACTGGTTAAGAAATAGAGTGGTGGATCAGTGGAATAGATTAGATATACAATACACAATAGCAAATGGCCATAGCAATCCAGTGTTTGTTAAAGCCAAAGATCCTAGATTTTGAGACAAGGACTCATTATTTGGCCAAAACTGCCAGGAAAGCAGTATGGTAGAAGCTTGATATAGACCAACATTTCATCCTGTATACCAAGATAAGGTCAAAATGGGTATTTTTAATGGTTGATACCATAAATCAATTAGGAGAACAAGGTATTGTTTCCTTGTCAGATCTGTGGAGTAGGGAAGAATTTATGATCAAACAGGAAGGAAAGAGAGAGCATTACAGTATGTAAAACAGATAATTTTAAAATTAAAAGCTTTTACACAAGCAAAAACAATACAGCCAAGATTAGAAGGAAAGCAGAAAACTGGGGAAATTTTTTTTCCAACAAGTTTGTCAGATAAAGACCTCATTTCTCAAAAATATAGAGAACTTAGTCAAATTTAATAAGAATACAAGTCATTCCCCAAATGATAAAAGGTGAAAAGATATGAACAGGTAGTTTTCAGATAAAGAAATCAAAGATATCTGGAGTCATGAAAAAAATGCTCTAAATTATTATTGATTAGAGAAATGAAAATTAAAACAACTCTGAGGTACCACCTCACATCTATCAGATTGGCTAATATGACAGAAAAGGAAAATGATAAATGTTGTAAAATATGTGGGAAAATTGGGGCACTAATGCACTGCTGGTGGAGTTCTGAATTGATCCAGCCCATTCTGGTGAATAATTTGGGACTGTGCCCAAATGGCTGTGAAATTGTGCATATCCTTTGATCCAGCAATAACACTTTTAGGTCTGTATACCAATGAGACCAAAAAAGAATGGAAAAGAACATATTTGTGTAAAATATTTATAGCAGCTGTTTTGTAGTTGCAAAGAATTTGAAATTATAGAGGACATCTATCAATTGGGCCATAGTTGAACAATTTGTTCATGGAATACTATTGTGGTATAAGAAATGATGAACAGGATGATTTCAAAAACACCTAGAATGACTTACATGAACTGATAAAGTGAAGTGAGCAGAACAGGAGAATATTATACACAGTAATTGGAATATTTTATGATGATCAACTGTGAATGACTTAGTTATTCACAGAAATGCAATCATCTAAGATGATTCCAAAGGACTCATAATGAAAAATTCTATCCACCTCCAAAGAAAGAACCAATGGAATCTGAATGCAGATTAAAGTATACTATTTTTTACTTTCTTTATTTTTGTTTTTTTTAACCTGTCTTCTTTTTAAACACAATTAATATGGAAATTTGTTTTTCATAATGTATATATATAACCTATATCAAATTGTTTACTGTTGGGGATGAAGGGAAGGACAGAATTTGGACCTTTCAAAGTTTAAAAAGCTTAAAAAAAAAGAATTTTAGAAATTGATTTTACTTGTAATTGGGAAAAATAAAATATTATTTAAAATCTTTTTTTAAAAAAACTTTCCATTTTTAACCCTCCCCCAATTATCATCCATAACCAATATCCATTCTTAATACTGTGTAACCCTCAAAGGCTTCTATAGGAGCAAAGATTCTTGTTAGATAACTATTTTATAGCTCTGAGGACAAATACTTATACTGGCATTGAGTAGGTTTTGTTTTGTAATTTTTTTTTCCTTTTCGGCTTTTATTTCAAGATGCCAGTAAATGTCTTAATATTCAGCGACAGTCTTCTTTCATATATTTTTGGTGAATCTAGCTTGCCTGGAGGAAGCATTATTGTTATTAATTATTATTACTAGCAGATATTTTTATTCAAGTATGGGTTGGACTAGAATGTCCTCTGAGGGCTCATCTAATTCAGAATCTGTGATTATGTTAATAATATGTGCTAGGCACTGAGGCAGGAACCAAAAGTCAAGCAGTTTCTTCACTCAAGGACCCTATTATGCAGGGATATATGTTAGAAACAGGACTTTAATCCAGTTTTTCCTGGCTTTTCAGATTATCTATCCACTAGAAAATGCTGGATGAGTGGTCTAAAGAGCCAAAAAATACAGAAAGGAAAAGGAAAAGGCCAAGTGAGGTGTTAGAGAAAATTATATGAGCAAATTTCAAAAGGAATAGAATACTAATGAGGAAAGTGAGAGGCCTGTGTTATACCAACAGAGGCTTCACACTGGAAGAAGATAAAGACTCTGAAAGGTGTAAATGAAAAAGGATTTCATTCCAGGCATGTGAGAAAGTTCAGTCAAATATATAAGAGCAAAAGAAAGAATCTGGAAGGAATGTAGACTGCCAAATGACAGTATTATAAAGCATAGGTGGGGGCAGAATATGGTATGTGAACGGTTTTAATTTAGAAGATGAAATTATCATATTTTACTTGACCACAAATGTCAGAATTAGGACCAATAAATGAAAATTCTATGGAAATAAACTCTTATTAGAGCTGTACAAAAGTGTTATGGACAGTCTTCTTAGGGGGTGATTTTCTGATTTCTGGAGATATTCCAGTTATGACTGGAGTACCCCTTGTCAGGAAGGTTGTAGAAGAGATTGGTGCTTCAGGTAGCAGTTATACACAAGGTTGGACTTGCCATACCAGGATTCTGTAATTCTATGAAAATAAGCACTTCTCATATACCTTTTCAAATGATTTTATCAAGCATTGAAGTGTTCCTCTATGAAAAATACTGATACTGTCGACAATCAGAGGAGCCCCAGAGGGGAAATAATGACCAAATTTCAGATATCAGAGTTCTGGGATTAACATCACATCATATTTGCTCCTATCTTCCCATCATTCTATTAGTAAAAATCTGTGGGAAAAGATACTGTGGTCTAATGGAAGGAGCAATGGATTTGGAATAATAGAACCTTGGTTCAAATCCTGGCTTTACTACTTACTATCTGTGACAGCTTGTAAAAAGTCCCTGAAGTTCTCTATATCTTAATTTCATCATGTATAAGAAGGTGGAATTGTGCTGTATCTTATACAAAACTTCTTCCAGCTTGAAAATATTGTGATCATAAGATTCCTTTAATAATGAGGTTGATATCTGAATTGGGACATTTAGTAAGTTTCCATACCATATACTGTCTCATTTGTTGCCATTGCTTATATGAATTAATTGATTTTTTACTCTTTGTTTACATATAGATATTGCACCAATAGAGCAGTGGTTTATAAGTATCTCACTACAAGATGGATTAACTACTTATGCTACTGAAGGAACACTTTTGGATCTTATCAGAGTTAAAAATGTGACAAAAGTAACAGTGTCAAACTCCATTAGTGAGAGTAGTAATGAGGTGCAGTGCTATTTATATTCCTCTAAGTAGTAGTAGCATCAAAACAATAAAAGCTAACATTTTACAAAGCACTTTTAGGATTAGCAAAGTACTTTATATGTTAACTCATTTAATCCTCACAATAAACCTTATGAGTTAATTCCTTTTTTTGAAACCCCTTGACAAATGAGGAAACAAAGGCAGGCAAAGATTAAGTGATTTTCCCTGAATCATGCATTGCTAGTGTCTGAAGCTAGATTTCAACTCAGTTCTTCCTGTCTTGAGACCTAGTATTCTATCCATTATGCCATCTCTGAGTATGAAAATCAGTTCCCTTTAAATATAGACTAGATCAGGTATGGAGAACCTGCAGCCTCAAGGTCACACCTAGCCTTCTAGGAACTTGGGTGGGGCCTTTTGACTGACTCAAATTTTACAGAGCAAATCTTTTTATTAAGGGTATTTGTTCTGTCTGGTTTGGATTCAGTCAAAGGGACGCTTTTGAGGACCTAGAAGGCCATATGTGGACCCTAGGCTGTAGGTTCTCCATGCCTGGACTAGACTTAAGGGCTCATAGGATGTTAAAGTGGGAAGGGAATTCAATATAATCTAATTCAACTTCCCCTTCCCCCTTCTCACATTCTTTTTACAAAGGGAAAGTGACTTGATAGAAGTAATATAGCTACCTCATTAAATTATTGTATTTATGTAAATTGAAGTATCAATGATAAGTTCCAAATAATGAAGAAGGTTCTGCCTAGGATCCCCATTTAGGATGCTAATTCTGCTCTTCTTCATAGGAAAACCAGCTGACTTCTCAATAGTTTAGGGCATTCAGAACAGGAAATTTGAAAACTTGTCAGTATAAAAACAATCATATCAAGCATGTTTCAACAATTCTGACAAGATAGCTGTGAATGACTTCTGCTAAGTCACAGCCGTGGCATGAAATGGTTTTTGTCCTGATAGGACAAATAATTAAATTTATCTCTCCCTGTTTCCAACACTATATGACATCATTACCTTTTCTCAACTCTTGTAACGTTAAGTCAACAATTATTGAGCACTTCTCATGTCAGGCACTGTCTGCATATGATTATAGCATGTCATAGCCTGCTTACATCCAGCTTGCTTTCCTTGATTTCCCTTTGATTGATTCTCAATTTGAGTTCTTCAGAGACTGTATTGTTTGTTAACTCAAAGTCATATAACATCACTGGAAGAATGTTGCTGGTAAAAATACAGACTTCTATTCCACTGACATAAATAATGGAATCAGCAAGGGAGTAGTAGACTTACAATGAAAAGCTCAGATTTGGATACATTAAATATGAAGAATCAATGGAACATCAATGGAACATGCCCTGTGGGCATTAATGTATTGCCCCTTAAAAGCTTTTAAAAGTAGGTGGTGAAATACTTCCTTTTTACAAACACAAGTATAAATTTTAACATCAAAATGTAATTATTCCACAGAACCTATTCTTCAGTGGAACCTTGGGAAACCAATAAATAATAGTCAATTTATTGAGATGATTCCACATGTGAAAAAAATTAAGATAGCAAAATGCCCCTGTGCTAATGATGTGGTAATAATTGGTATCGTCTGTGATGACACTCTTGATGGTAAGTTTATGCTTTTTAATTGTAAGTAGTTCGTAGTTGTTAGTGTTAGTGACATGGATAAAACAACAATAACAGCAACAAAGGAAATTGAGAAGTGGTCGGACATACAGGGGGAGAACCAGGAGAATAGTAGTATAACAACTTTGAGTGGAAATAATATCCAGCAGATCAACTATATCAAATAGTGCAGAGAGATTAAGAAGGATCATGACTGAGAAAACATTATTTTTTGGTATTTAAGAGATCACTGGCAAGTGTAGAAATAGAAGTTTCACCTGAATGATGAGATCAGAATACAGTTTACAAATGGTTTAAAAGAATGAGAAGAGAGTAAGTGAAGGCTTTCTTAAGGAGTTTAGAAAGTTGCCTATCAGGCAGCTAGGTGGTGCAATCGATAGAGCTCCAGCCTTGGAGTCAGGAGGACCTGAGTTCAAATCCAGCCTCAGACACATAATGCTTACTAGCTGTGTGACCCTGGGCAAGTCACTTAACCCTATTGCCTAGCCCCCCCCAAAAAAGAAAAAGAAGCTTATATATGGAGCAGCTAGGTGGCACAGTGGATAGAGCACCAGACCTGGATTCAGGAGGACCTGAGTTCAAATGCAGCCTCAGACACATAACACTTACTAGCTGTGTGACCCTGGGCAAGTCACTTAATCCCCATTGCCCAACCAAAAAAAAGTTGCCTATCTTTCCCAATTCTTTTGTGGGAGATCTCTGAGAATGCATTGGAAAAGGGGGGGGTAGGGGAGAAGACAAGTGGTACTAATGGAAAGCATATTTACCTCAACAAGATCAAAGATCCATTATAACTGAAGAGAAGATCAGAGGTTAAGTACCAGCTCAGCTGCTTGTCAGTTTTGTGACTATGGGTAGTTCAGTTAAGTTCTGGTATCATCAATTTCTGCATGTGCAAAGGCAGTATAATGACATTTGCCCTATCTCATTGTCTTGAGTGTTGTTGTGAGGGAAGCATTTTGTAAACTGTAAAGCACTATGGAAATGTGAACAATGATTATAGTGTCCCAGAGTCAGTCTATAACAGAAGACAATCAGATATTAATCCATAAAATAAGATGGTTAGGAAAGCTGAAAGAAGATTTTTTTTTTTGCTTTACCCCCCAAAGATGGAGGAGTATAATAAAAATGGAATGGTCTCTGCCTAAAGACCCAACAACATAAATTTATCTAAAATCAATTCAGAGCTAATTAATCTTGCTTATTCCTTTTAAATTTTTAAATGTTTGGCTCATTTAAATCTTTGTCTTTTGTCTTTTTTTGGTCTTTTTTGTTATTTTTTCCCCCTCTTATCTAGGTGTTTACCTAGGCTTGACTATGTCTGGATTTTGGGATGACAATGGTACTTCATGGTACAATTTGACAGAAAATATTTGCTCTGCATTTAAAGAAGGTGATTTTTTTTTCTTCTGACCAAGTCTGTAGGAAGCATCTCCTCCATCCCTATCTTTTGAGACAAACTTGGACAAAACCCTTCCTCTCTCTGGCCTCAATTTCTCCATATGTAAAATGAGGGATTATATTAGATGTTCTCGGAGGTGGCTTACTTCTAAATCCTATGATCCTAAATTACAAAGGGTATGGGATCTTGTGCATTTACAAAGTCACATAGTATCTCTGAACAGTTTCTTGACCTCAAATTTCATGAAGAAATAAGTAAAGGACAAGACACATTGTGATTCTTTAGTGCTCGACAGTAAATCAGTGGTAGAATTAGAATTTGATCCCTAGGATTGCACTACGCTAACATCTCTAGAGAACAGTTACCCCAAATTACCTTTTCTCATAGGCATAATGATAACAGGGTCCTCTGAGAGCCAAGAATTATTAAGGAAATTATAGGATCCAGGATTGAGATTTTCAAGGGACATACATGACATTTAGTCCAACACCCTCATTTCAGAGATCAGGAAACTAAGACCTTGAGAGGTTAACTGATTTGTTCAAGGTCACAAGACTAATAAATAGCTAAGTCAGGATTTAAGCTCAAATGCTCTGACACCAAGTCTCAATTTCTATAAAAATGCTGTCCATTCATAAGTGAATTTATAATGACTTCTATGCTATTTTTTCCTCTTTTAGACTTCCTGGACTGTTTACTTGTAAATGTTGTTTTAACAAATCATCATTTAATACTTCTCACCTCATTGGGTCTTTTTGTAAGTGGTGATCTTCGATATCCAAGAAAGACATTAATGGTATGTGTTTCAAATGTTAGCCATTGATCTTAAATATCTCTCCATTATCAAGCCAATACATACTTGATATACATCGTATCTCATAGAACAGAACTGATTCTGACTCACTGAGAAAAAAAAAATTAAGAAGACATATAAAACATTCCCATTGTTGACAATGGAATTGGTCTTTACTGTAGTATGAAAAAAATGCAAGAAAATAAATTGAGAACCACAAGGGGCAAGATAAAGAATAAGAGAGAAAATGAAGGAGGGATTAGCTGAATGGACTACAACTGTTTGACTTGAGGATGGGAAGATTTAGAGTGAACAGGATCTCTAGAGTCCAATATTTGAAAGACTGTTAAATGGAATGGGGAATTAAACTTGGTCCCAAAGGACAGAAAGACAACAGTGGGGCACAAAGATGGGGAGAACATGAAATCATGGGGGAAGGAATTTTGACTTGATTTTGGCTCTTCTAAGAATTAGAATCTTCAAAAGTGCCTTTTTTGGGGATATTAGATTCCCTGTTACTGGAGATTTTCCTTTGGGGGCAGATGACCCCTATGGCTACTGTAGAAAGGATTCTCAATCATATAGTAGTTGAGTTAGAAGTTAACTGAAGTCCTTTCCAATTCTGAGATCCTATTATTATTTTGTTGTTTTCATTCAGTTGTGCCTCACAATTGAATGCAAACACTTCTGTTTTGGGAAAGTAAACTCTGTGAAAGGGATATGAAGCATATTAACTTCAGGGGAATAGAAAACAGGATAGAAATCAGGAAAAAAAATGGTATATTCGTTGTTTCAGATGGAATAAGAACTACATTGAGTAATGGGAAGGAAGAAGAGTTAGAAGGAAGAAAAAGATGCCTAGAGATGCACTTGTTAGGTACCATTTTAATAATTTTCTTGATGGGGGCATCTAGGAGGAGCAGTGGATAGAGCACCAGTCCTGAAGTCAAGAGGACCTGAGTTCAAATTCAGCTTCAGACCAAACACTGAACACTACTAGCTGTATGATCCTGGGCAAGTCACTTAACCCCAATTGCCTAAAAATTTTAAAAAATTAAAAAAATTTTCTTAATAGATTCTCACAGGGCTAGCCAGAGTGAGATAGTTGAGCAAACTAGAGTAGGGGAGATACCCCAGAAGTTAACTTCAGTGCCTGAGAAACCTCACCTTGAGATTGCTCCAGCCTATATGTCCTGTTAAAACTTTAGCACACTTATTGTTATATTCTCTCATTTGAAGACATAATCATTTTCTTCTTTTTTCCTTCCAGTTTTCAAGAGCCAACTTTTGTGGTTTTGAAAGGGTAAGAGCACAAATTAATAAGGGGATTGCAGACTAGTCAATGGAGGGAAACATGGGTGCTAAAGATGGATTTTTATCATATATGATTACATGAAGAGAGAAACATTAGAATCACCTTCATTTTAGTAGAATTCTATAGCTTAGTTTCTTTTTTTAAATGCAACAATCCAATTTCAGAATGTATGGAGCAGATGATAAGTGAAGTAGACAGTCTGAAAGGAAAGAGACCAGTAACTCGAGAGAACACTGGGAAAAGGTCTGTGGACAATGTGGCACCTGATGTGGGTTTTAATCTATTGGTAGGATTTAGATTGGTAGTGGGAATGTTGGAGGACAGCTAGGTGGTACAGAAAATAGAGTGCTGGGTCTACAGTCAGGAAAACTCATCTTCCCAAATTTAGATCTGTCCTGAAGAAGCTTATTAGCTATGTGACCCTGGGAAAGTAACTTAATTCTGTTTGCCTCAGTTCCTCATCTGTAAAATGAGCTGGAGGAGGAAATGGCAAACCACTCCAGTATCTTTGCCAAGAAAACCTCAAATAGGGTCACAAAAAGTCAAACACAACTAAAAAATGACTGAACAACTATAACAGGCATGTCGAGAAGATAAGTTGATAGCAGCATTCCAGCTATAGGAATTATATAAATAGAAAGAAAGAATAAACACTATGAGTTTAGGAAACATTGAGAAAGCATGCAGTCAGTCTATAGTGCTTCTGACACACTTGCTGGATAGATGAGGGATAGCCAGATTTTAGAGAGAATTAGAGAGGAAATAATCTTACTTTGATAAGCTGTGGGGAGCTTTTATTTGCGAAAAAGAAGAACTACATGATGAACGCTGTTTCAGGAATATTAGGCTGGTAGCTACACAGAGCTTCCAGTGCTTCCAGGGAAGTCTGGGTATGAGAGTTGCAAAAGGGTCCACGGTGTCAAATACTGCAGAGACATCAATGAACATGAGAACAGAAATAAGGTAACTTAACTTACTAAAGAAGTCAACAGTAACTGGGAGTCAAGATACCTGAGATGTAGTCCCAACTCTGGCACTAACTAGATGTGTATAGATCATACCATTATCTCCTCTTTGGGCCTTCACTTCATCATCTATAAAGTGAAGGATTTGGAGTGGGATAACATGTTGGTTTCTACCCAATTGTCTCTGATTGTATAAATTATGATCTTTGGGAAACCACTACCACTCAAGTGATAGAAACTAGGTAGCAAAAGGTTCAGAAGAAATGTTTACTGAGGGAATAAATGTAGTAGGTTTAGAAGACTACTTAGTCTTTGTAATTCCAACACAGAATTCCTATAAAATTAATTATAACCCTGTTGCTACACACAAACAATAAAGAATTCAACTGAAGCTTTGTTCCAGGAGAGAAACTTGGACAATTATCAGAACACCTTGAAGAGTAGACATTTTCCCAACTAGATGTCAATGGCTTTCTGTTTGTGCTTTCAACAAAGTTGTCTTTGGTGAGAAGGAAGTGGCGCACTTATATCATCTGTGTATCAATAAATTTTGAGGTAGAAAATGCCTTTATGCCATGAGCCTAAATCTCATCCTTTAGGCTTGTGAAAAGACATTAAAGAAAGAAACAAAGTGTATTTATTATCTCATATGCCATAAGTTGCTTCTTTAGGCACAAATGATCCTAAAAGAATAGCACTATGTTCTACATGTCATTTTTAGCCTCACTTAGGCTAGTACGGGGTACAGACCAAAGACCCAGCAAATAACTGCTGTGTCCTCTATTTAGTAACATTGTGAAACCAGTTATGTACTGTAATAGAATATATATAGTTCACATTTTTAGAGCATTCAGTAATTTATGAGACAATTTCTTCACAATGTCTTGTGGTCTAAGGTAGTATAAGGATTATTGTCATCATTTTATAGATGATGATGTAAAGATTATTATCACTTCAAAGATAAGGAAATGGAGGTTCAGAGAGACAGGGAGACTTGACCAAGATTATATATTTGGTAAATCTTAGAAGCAGAACTTAAAGACCTCTTTTAATATGTACTCTTAAATTGTTTTGACTCCATCTGGTATTTTCACTATACTATTGCTAACTTTTAGTAACACACACATATTATATGTGTGTGTGTGTATGTGTGTATATATATACACACATACACACACACACACAGAGACAAGTGCACACCCACGTGTGTGTATGTATATATATATATATAAACACAAACATGTGTATGTATATACACATATGCACATATATACTTATATGTGCATATGAATAAGTATCTAATACTTTAGGATAATAATTATGGAATCAATTTTCTACATTAGTCAATGTCACTGAGGGTGGAGAAGGTGGTACAAGATCTGTACTAAGAGAAACTAATTGCAGGTGCTTGACTTGGTCACTGAATCCACTTGGCATCATTTATAATTTAAACCTGCACTATTTGGTTCACGTTTATTTTGCCCTTAGATTAATTTCTGAGCATGGATTCTAATATTAAGAACCTTCATATCTTACCACCTGCTACTGGGTTGTATTGTCCATACGATGTGGCCTTAACATCTGATCAGCTTTCAAAACATATAGACTCCTGGGTCTTCCTATCACCAGTAAGGATAACTTGGTCACTCCATTCTTCATGATGCTGAACTCTCCTATATTTTTTTGGTCATTTTCTTTTTTTATTCTTGATAATTTATTTATTTTTCAGTTTTCAACACTCACTTCCATAATATTTTGAGTTTTAAATTTTCTCTCCCTCCCACTCCTCTCCCTGTCCCAAGACAGCATGTCATCTGATATGCTTAAAATGAATGTATAAGTACAGCCTATATTTTCCCATTAGTCATGATATAAAGAGCAAATAGAATAATGGGACAAATCACAAGAATGAAGCAATAAAACAAGACAACAAAAGAAAAGGAGAGCAAATAGTGTGCTTGCATCTGCACTCAGACTCCATAGTTCTTTCTCTGGATGTGGATAACAATTTCGACCATGACTCTTTTGGAGACATCTTAGATCCTTGTATTGCTGAGAAGGGTTAACTCTATCAATATTAGACTTTTCTTTTCTGTTTATGAGATAATTTACCCAGTTCTACCTCTCCCTTTCTCCTTCTCCCAGTATAATCCTCTCTCACCCGTTATTTTTATTCTCCAGATATGACCCCTTTATCTTCAACTCATCCTGTGCCATCTATCTATCAATCTATCTATCTATCTATCTATCTATCTATCTATCTATCTATCTATCTCTGCCAATCTATCTATCTATATATACATGCATATATTTTTTTCCCTCCAACTACCCTAATACTGACAAAGGTCTCATGTGTTATAAATATCATCTTTCCATGTACGAATGTAAAGAGTTCAACCTTAATAAATCTCTTATAATTTCTCTTTCTTGTTTACCTCTTCATGTTCCACTTCAGTCTTGTATTTGAAAGTCAAATTTTCTATTCAGTTCTGGTCTTTTCATCAAGAATGCTTGAATGTCCTCTATTTCACTGAATGACCATTTTTTCCCCTGAAGGATTATACTCAGTTTTGCTGGGTAGGTGATTTTTGGTTGTTATCCTATCTCTTTTGCCTTCTGGAATATTACATTCCATGGCCTGTGGCCCCTTAATGTAGAAGCTGCTAAATCTTGTGTTATCCTGATTGTGTTTCCATAATACTTGAATTGTTTCTTTCTGGGTGCTTGTAATATTTTCTCCTTGACCTCAGAACTCTGGAATTTGGCTACAATAGCCCTAGGAATTTTCCTTTGGGGATCTCTTTCAGGAGGAGATCAATGGATTCTTTTAATTTCTATATTGCCCTCTGGTTCTAAAATATCAAGGCAGTTTTCCTGATAATTTCTTGAAAGGTGATGTCTGGGCTCTTTTTTTGATCATGGCTTTCAGATAGTCCAATAATTTTTAAATTCTCTCTCCCGGATCTATTTTCCAGGTCAGTTGTTTTCCCAAAGAGACATTTCACATTGTTTTCTAGGTTTTTCATTCTTTTGGATTTGTTTTGATTTCTCATAAAGTCACTAGCTTCCAATTGCTCTATTCTAATTTTTAAGGAAGAACTTTCTTCAGTAATCTTTTGGACTTCCTTTTCCATTTGGCCATTTTTTCTTTTCAGGTCATTCTTCTCCTCATTGGCTTTTTGGACCTCTTTTGCCATTTGGGTTAGGCTATTTTTTAAGGTGTTATTTTCTTCAGTATTTTTTGGGGTCTCCTTTAGCGAGCTGTTGGCTTGTTTTTCATGATTTTCTTGCATCACTCTCATTTCTCCTGGTTTTTCCTCTACTTCTCTTACTTGCTTCTCAAAATCCCTTTTGAGCTCTTCCAAGGCCTGGGAACTGATCCATATTTTTCTTGGAGGCTTTGGATGTGGGAGCTTTGACTTTGTTGCCCACTTCTGGTTGTATGTTTTAATCTTTTTCACCAAAGTAAGATAATATAGTCTGAGTCTTTTTGCACTGCTTGCTCATGATCCTGGCCAATTACTTGAGTTTTAAACTCTTTGTTAAGGTAAAAATCTGCTTCCAATGTGGAAAATGTACTGTCTGAAGCTTCGGGGGTTTATACAGCTGTTTTCAGAGATACTTGTAGGGACCTGTAAATTTTCAGTTCTTCCAAGGTGGTATGATAAGGGGCAAGGTGTTTAATTCTTTCCTGGCCTGTGCTCTGGTCTATTAGTGACCACAAGCACTCCTTTCTGTCCTGTAACTGTGAGGAAGGGCTCTCCTCTTCACAGCCACTACAAGCTTCTCCACGCCAGCACTCCTCCTTGCCCCAGGACCGCTGCCCAGAACTGTGACCCAGATCCAAGCATAGGCAAAGCAAGAGATTCGTGCCTCAGCACTGGCAAAGGGATCCCTCAAATCCCCCTCTGATCAGCCACTCGATTCCCCCTCAGTCTGTGGTCCGGAAGCTCAGGATGCAGCCACCACCCCAGCATCTGTGCTCTGGAACTGGCTGTGAGACCTAGCTCCTGTCTTACTGCAGAAACAGACTTTTCCCACTGACCTTCTAAGTTGTCTTTGGCATTCCTGGGTTGAGAAGTCTGGAAACCACCACAGATGTCCACGATTCAGTCCTCTGAGGCCTGCTCCAGGTTCACTTCAGCCTGTGCCTCCACCCCACACTGCGGTCCTCTCCCCACCTGGCATGATATACCTTTCTGATCAATCATCCAAATTGTCTTAGTCTGAAAATTTGATTCACTCTGTCTTGTTGTGGATTCTGCTGCTTTAAATTTGTTTAGAGCCATTTTTTATAGGTATTTGGAGGGGAGAGAACTCAAGCAAGTCACTGCTTTTACTCTGCCATCTTGGCTCTGCCTCCCTTTCACCCCAATCTGTTTCTTAGCCAGTGCCAGATTGTTTTAATGATTACCACTTTGTAATAGAGTTTCAGTTATGGTACTGGTGGGCCACCTTCCTTCATATTTTTTCATTGATCTTCTTGATATTCTTGACCTTTTTGTTCTTCCAGATGAATTTTGTTATGATTTTTTTTCTAGGTCTATAAAATATTTTCATAGTTTGATCAGCATGGCACTGAATAAATAAATTTAGGTAGAATTGTCATTTTAATATATTGGCCTATTTTTTTTTTACTTCAGCTCAAGCATAATATATTCTGCTCCAGCCTTTTACCTTTACCCTGTATGTGTCCCTCTTTTTCAAATGTGTTTCCTGCACACAACATATTGTAGGATTATAGTTTTTAATCCATTCTGCTATCTGCTTCCATTTTAGGGGAGAGTTCATTCCATTCACATTCACAGTTATGATTACTATCCATGTCTTTCTATCCTTTCTCTCCCCCTGTTTATGCTTTTCTTTCTCCTTTCTCCTTTTCCCACCTCACTAGTGTTTTGCTTTTGACCATGACTCTCTCAGTCCCTCCTCCCTTTATTAGCCCTTTCCCTTTTTTTCCCCTCTTACCCTTACTGCTTCTTCCCTCTCTTCTATCCCTGCTCCCTTTTCTTTCCCCTTTTCTCTCCTACTTCCTATAGGGCAAGTTAGATTTCTATATCTTATTATGTTATGCCCTTCTTGAGCCAACTCTGATGAGAGTAAGGTTCAGACAATACTCATCTCCCTCCCTTCTTTCCCTCTGCTGTAATAGGTTTTTGCGTCTTTTCCTATAAGACAATCTACCATTGTCTGCCTTCTCCTTTCTCAGTACATTTTCTTAGATCAGATTAATCCTCTTACTTGCATCCATTTAATCCACTTGATTAGATTTTTTTTTATCATTACATAAAAGTCAACTTATATCCATCCCCTTTATGTATACTCCTTTAACATGGTATAATAACAATACAATTCTCAAGAACTACATTTGTCATCTTCCCTTGTAGGGATGTAAACCGTTTGCCCTTATTAACAACATATTATCTTCCTGTACCATTTCCTTTTTTATGTCTCTCTTGAATCTTGTACTTGAAGATCAAATTTTCTTTTGAATTCTAGTCTTTTTATCAGGAAGGTTTGGAAGTTCCCTATTTCATTGAATATCCATCTCCTCCCCTGAAAGATCATGCTCATTTTTGCTGGGTAGTGGATCCTTGGTTGTAATCCAAGCTTCTTTGCCTTATGGAATATCATGTTCCATGCCGTACAGTCTTTTAATGTAGAAGCTGCAAGGTCCTGTGTAATCGTGACTGTGGTTCCATGATATTTAAACTGTTTCTTTCTGACAGCTTGTAGTATTTTCTCTTTGACCTGATAATTTTGGAAGTTGGCTACTATATTCCTTGGTGTTTTCAATTTGGGATCTCTTTCAAGAGGTGATTGGTGGATTTTTTTCTATGGCTATTTTACCCTCTGGTTTTAGGACCTCAGGGCAGTTTTCCTTGATGGTTTCCTGAAAGAAACTGTCCAGGCTCTTTTTTTCATCACGATTTTTAGGTAGACCAATAATTTTTAAATTGCCTTCCTGGATCAATTTTCCAGGTATTTTTTTTAACCAATCAGGTATTTTACATTTTCATCTTTTTTTTCATTTTTTGTTTCTGTTTGATTGATTCTTGCTCTCTCATAGAGTCATTAGCTTCCATTTGCCCAATTCTAATTTTTAACAAATTGTTTTCTTCTATTGGATTTTGTACCTCCTTCCCCATTTGGCCAATTGTATTTTTTAGAGACTTGTTTTCTTCAATGCACTTTTTTTCCATTTGGGCAATTGTATTTTTCAAGGATTCTTCTACCTCTCTCATTTGACTTTTAAAATTCTTTGAGTTCTTCTAAGAAGGCTTTTTGGGCCTCAGACCATTTCATTTAACCACTCATTTCCCCTGGATGTCTCTCTGCAAATCCCACGTTGCTGAAGAATTACTAATGTACCTTTGAACAGGGAGTTTCCTTCCTGGAATTCTCTACACCAATGAAATTCCAGATGTGGACCAAGGAATCACTTACCTTTGTATAGTACTTTAGTTAAATAATACATTTACCCACATGGTCATATTCTACCATCACAACAACCTTCTTATTTAGGCTTGGAAAATATCATTGTTGATTTATGAGGAACCTGAGTCTCATGGAGTTTAAGCATTTTGCCCAAGGTCACACAACTGGCATATGATGGAAATGGCACTTGAACTGAGATCTTCCAAGTTCAAATTCAGAGCTCACCCCAAGATGTTATAGATGTTAAAATATTGAGTGCAAAGCTATGTGTCTTGCGTATTAAGAACAGAACAAACTGTTGTGAGGATCCAGAAGCAGTAAGATTACTTTCTTTTGAGAGGATGAGGGAAACCTGTCATAGTGAAAAGAGCATAGGACCTGGAGTTTGGAAACCTACATTCAAATCTTGCTTCTAGCATTTGTTAGCTTGAGTGACATGGGCAAGTTACTTGATCCCTCAGAGATGGTTTTCTCATCTGCAAAATAGAAATATTTGTACTATCTACCTCACAGGGTTGTGTTGAGAAATTTCCCTTATAAATATTAAAGACTTTTAAAAACACGTTGTGACTTCATGGAGAAGAACAAAAAAATGGGAACTATATCATACATTGTTCTGGGAGAGCTTGCCAGAGAAATTGTGGTTGATTCTAACATTAAATGGTCTTGGACCCCCCCCCCCCAAAGCTGGTCTAAATTTGAAAAATGTGAGAAAGGGTACTTACCATTTTAAATTAAAGGAGAAAAATGCACATTTTGACTGTCTTCAGTAAATCATGGAATGTTGTTAGCTGCTAGCATCCCTGGAAAATGTTTGATCTGGATTTTCCTACATTTTTTTCTATTAATTTTATCACTAATTTCTTCATTTTCTCCCTTTCCCCTCAAGCATTAACTTGTTAACTTTCCATTTCATCTTTTCAGGACTGTATGATTTACTCTTTTCTGTGAATATTTTCTTTCTATTCAATGAGCTATTAGATAATGTCTTTCTGTTTTTAATAGGAAGATTATAAGCAAGCAAAACTGTGGTATCATGAAAGATGTTTAGCTAACAGAGAACAATTTGAAGGTAAATTTTACTTAAATATATTTGAATGAGCATCACTACTTAAACAAAATTAAGAATAAAGTAGCATGATATATTATTTACTATCTTGAGCTAATAATTTTCTACAAAATCTACTATCTTAAAGCATTATTCATTAATCATCAAAAGACAAATTTATACTTTTAAAATGCAACTTCATTAACTGCTTGAAACTTGTATGTAAATGCCAATAATGCTTTAACTTTTGTAATTTGTGATTTTTAGATGAAGTTATTGCTATCACTTTCAATAAAAACAAGACTTTGAGCCAGGTAAATTGTTGCATTTAAAGAAGGTAAGAGATATGATTGTGGAATGATTATTGAAAAATTGCTAATCATTTTTTCAAAGTGGCAATCTTTCTAATAGACAACGTAATTGTCCTAGTCATTCCAGATTTACTAATGAATGCACTTCACGGAATCTTCAAAATTTTATGAATGAGCAGTCCTAGAAATGAGCTTCAAGATATAATCAAGAGTGACCTAGTTAAACCTGATAGCAACATGCCTTAAAAACCAAATCAAGACAGAAGAACACAAAATCTCATAGGCTGTTATGTTTAGAGGAACCCAAAATGTGTCTTGGATGAAGGGTATCTTTAATTAAATTTTTTCATTTCTTTTTTTTATAGGTATCCACTTGTTTCTTTGGTATAGAACCATTTATTATTTGGAAGCCTTGCTTCCCCAAATTTTCAAAAAAGACAAAAATAATCAGTCAGAAAATTGTGTCATTTCTTTTTGACCCTGAGCAAAAAACTGCAATCTACCTTATTAAGACCCAGGTATGTTCTGTCACTTGAAGGTGGTTAGGTGGTTTTGTTGCCAGTCGAATACAACGGAAATATGAATGTCCAATTTGAAGTGGCATGGCATCATTACATAGTAGTACTAACAATGCAAAGTGGTTTCAGATATATAGTCCAGTACAAAGTATTTTAGATAGTCCCTGTTTAGAATCACACGACATCAAAGAATTATAGATTTGGAAGGGACTGAAAAAGTCATCTAATGTGATCCCTAACCCAAATATTATTTCAGTTTCAACATCCCCAGAAAACACTCACTTCACCTGTCTTAGGATTCACTATTCCTTGATAAAACCGTTGCTATTTTTAACAGTTCTAAAATAACTTATATTATTAGAGTTATCATAGGGCACCAGGGTTCAGAATATCAGGAGAATACAGGAATTAAGGAAGAGGGAAAAATAAGCTTAGAAAGCCTCTGTCTAGAATCATAGCATCAAAGAATTACAGATTTGTAAGAGACTACAAAGGTCATCTAGTCCAATTTCTAATCCAAATATGTCTTCAATTTAAAGCAACCCTGACACTCATTACCCTTTTGTTAGAATTCATTGTCCCCAATGTGGTCCTTTCTATTTTTAACACTTATAAAATAACTCTTATTACTAGAGTTATCATGAGGAACCAGAGTCCAGACCATCAGGAGGAGATGAAAATTAAAGGAGGGGGAGATAGCTGTAAAAGTACCTAGGTCACAGTGGCTTGTCCCCTGAAAACATCACCCATAAAGGGTGTCTATACTTAATAAAGCCATAGTTAACAGCAAAGGCCTATTGCCTAGTGAGACCTAGGTTCCAACACCAGCTCCCATACGTATAAACTCTATGACCGTGGCAAATCACAACCTCTCTGAACCTCAGGTTCCTCATCCGCAAAATAAAGAAAATGATGTCTGCACTTCCTACCACCCTGCATTATGGAGTGAAAAAGGATGTATGTAAAGTATTCTGTAAATCTTAAATGTTAGATAAATGTTAGCAGTTATTGAAGTGATATTAGTGGCAAATGTCTACAAGAAATGGAGAAACCACAGAACCAGTATGTCTTTGATTTTAGATTCATATTGGTATAGATGTTCGGCAATTTTTTGTTCTAGTAAGGTTTTTTGTTTGTTATTTTGCTAGGGGTCAGCATTACGAGGGAATGGGGATGAAAGTAAGAAGAATTATACAATCCCCAGATATTTTTTAATTATGTTTTTAGATAAGAAATAGGTAATCCAAATCATGCGCCATACAGGGCTATAAATATAAAAAACAGTGGATTGAATTAGGTATATCACTAACTTAAGAAGAGTGAACTGTTCTGGAAATGATAGAAGTTCAATAATCTCTGATTTCTTTGATATGGATTTACCCTGCGCTGACATAGATGTCAACCTCTCTGATACTCAGAAGATGGATTTGTGTGTATTTCTGTAGCTGAAAAATATATCAGCCTTCTGGAGATGAGCCTTTGCATATTTAACCAAGTTTGTCTTTCAACGATGGGTGAATCAGTGAATTCATGCTCAAAGGATTTCCAGGTTGGCAGGGTTGCCAATAATTTTTTTATTGGCACTTTCTTTAACACCCTGGAATCACTTTTGCACCATTGTCAGGCACTAGCAATTTTGAATGGAAGAGCAAATTGGTGATAATGGAAAAATCCCTTTGACCATGCAATTTTATGTATTTATGTATAAATTTTCCTTTTTTTTTTTTTTTAGGATAGGATTTCTGTTGTTGTAAGGACTTTGCAGAAGAGGTATATACCACACATTAAAATGAAATTTCCAAGTTTCAACTTCCCTAAGAGTTTTTCTCTTGCTCTTGGAATGGTATTCCATCCTAGGAGTCACTTTCTCTATGTTTTTGGCACTCAGGTAAGTATCAACAAAATTTCACCTGTGGCTTGTTTTAAAGTCTCAAACCCTGGTACAATATTGAGGGTAATTTCTCTACTTCAAGCCTTCCATAAAACACTAAGATTTGAGTAAGTAAATTATGAGTCCTCTGGAAGGTTCCAGTCATCTCAGGGAAAAAATGAAAGTGTAGGTCCCAACCAATATATATGTGAAATCTCCTCCCATCCACAATGTGTTGGAACTTCTAAGAAGCCCTCTAATCAATCCCTCGCCTGTGAGCCAAATGGCCCCAGGACTTAGTCCTGGGGTTTGTTCATATTAGAAGAAATTTCTCTGGTCTAAAACCATATTCCTGGATTCACCTGGATTCACAATAAAACAGTAAGATCTAACTGTTTTTAACAGAACTGACAATAGTCTAGACCATAATTTCTAGCTATGTAGTGGGTTGCCATTAGTTGGAGCAGTACCTCCTTGAGCTGTGACTGAGTGTTACCCATGGTCTTAATACAAACAAACAAGCAACAGTAAAACAGAATCCCAAATAAAACAGAGCAACCAAAGAACCAGAAACTAGTCACAAAACTGAGACCAGGGCATACCAGAAACTAAACCTAAGACTAGAGAGATCTCTTACCTGTCAGACACCTGTCAGACACCTCATGAAGAGGGTCTTCAAAGGGGCCCAATAGAATCTCAGAAAAGAAAGGCTTGGAGAGGACTCAATCAAAAGAGAGAGTCCAAAGATCTTACGAGGCAGGGACACTTACAATTAGCAGATGGAGGGGGCTGGGCCAATCATCCAATTGGTGCCTGACACCCCTATTCAAAAATGTACCTCAACAGGCTACGTCCTCAGCCTAATCCTGTTTGTGACAGCAATGAACTGTTAAAGGAAGATGAGAGGCCCAAAAAGAGTCTGATCCCACCATATGAAAGTGTTTATTGTCTGAGAAGAGCTTACAGGGGAGAGAAAATCCTTCATGGGAGTAGAGAGGAGAGAGAGTTCTCAGTTGCTCAAAGGGGAGTGGAAAACAGGTGAGATAGTATAATTTCTAGAGGCTTTCAGCTGGGGAGTGACGAGTTGAGGGTAAAGACTTCTGTAAGACATAATAAGCCAGGCAGCTGGATATTTGGAAAGTCCTGAGCAAGGTTTTGAGCCCGCAGCTGCCGTTCGAAGTTGCTCTTGAGCTGGTCAAGGCTGTCCAGTAGTTTTTGGCTGCTACAGGCATCTCCAAATGTGGCTAGATTTCACCTGCAAAGGATCACTGGTATATCAAGCAGTTTTGGGCTTCAAAAACCTTTCTGATTGGCTGATTATTGTGTAACTCTAACAGGTTAGTATAAACATTACAAAGCCCATGTTAGCTGAGAATAAAAGATTCTATTCCAACCCATTAATTTATTTCTATATAATTCTATATGCTTGATTCTGATTCATTTGACCATCTCCACATTTATGATTATAGTTATATTTCATTTCTTTTTGTCTGATGCTTCCCTTTATGAGGAAAAAGAAAAAAGGTGTATAGAAAAAGATTTCTCTTTCTCTCTGTCTCTCTCTTGTTCATTGTCTGCCTTCATGCCTCCCCCTATCCTTCTCTCACACTCTCCCTCCACCTCCCCCCTTTCTTTCTCTTTTCATTGACCCTTAGTTATGAGGTTTCTGAAGGAATAGTAGCATCTTTTATCTCTTTCAGGATGATATTATTGACTGTAGGCTTTTATCTTTTACCTTTTACATATTGAATTCCAAATTTTTCTTTATTATATTTGCTGTTTAAAACTATGTAATTACAACTCTGATAAGTCTCTTTGGTATGTAATAAGTCTCTTCCTGGGTGATTGTACTATATTCATATACACAGTCACATATATTCATATATATATATATATATATATATATGTCCACATATAGTATATATGTGTGTGTACTACATGTGTATATGTGATGCTGGCTCTGGAGTTTGGTAATCATATTTCTGAATGGGTAATTTGGTGTTTCTTTCAGGTGATTTATGAATTCTGCTTGTTTTTGATTTGCCCTCTGTTTCTAATAGTTCTGGGCAATTCTCTACAATAATTCCTTAACATATTAAGTCCAGAATTTTTGTTTTATAACTCTTTTCCTGGAGTCTAATTGCTCTAAAATTGTATTTTCCTGTTATATTTTCTAGGTCAGTTTTTAAAAAAAATAAATATCTCACACATTTTCTTTTTCTTTTTTTGTATTTTCCCTTTATTCGTTTGTTGTTATTTCACTAAATTTGTGAACTCTCTTTCTCCATTCTATTTTTCAGATAATTTATATCTTTGATAAAATTTGGCAATTATTCGTCATACCTCTTTATTTTCTTCCAAAATTTTTCCTCAAGAGCTCTTATTTGTCTTCTTATATCATCTTTTACCTCTTGTCAATCCATTCTTTTTTTTTAATATTCTTTTGAAATTATGTCTGAGTTATTCCTTTCTGGATTTTTAGACTTGAATTATCTTAACGTGGTATTTCTTCATTATATCAGGGGTTTTCTTATAATTAATTGCTCATTTCTAGTCTCTATTATGGATGACTGGTAAAGATATTTCTCTTGACTTCTCTGATTTTTTTGGCTCTGCAATTTGAGAGATTACTATCATGTCAATTCCTTAGCATTGGGCTTACGGTTAAAGAGAATGGATGTTATGAGCCTCTCTCAGTACTCAGTCTGGAATCAGGTACCCCAAAAGTCTAGATGATAAAGTTGTATTTTCTGGGCCTTCCCCTTCCCACAGTCATCTACCAAACTGGGAATTGGGGTTCATAATCCTTTCTTTCTCTCATCAGCTGAGATGGGAATCTGTACCTGGGGAGTAAATACTCTGGACCCTGCCCCACTACTATCTCACAGTCCTAGAGAGATAGCTAAGTTGGAGTTTGTAGTCCCTGGGCTCTAACCTCTCCTGCTAACCTCGATGGGAGCTCTTCAGCTCAGCTCAGAACAAAGTGGCTGTAATTTAGAGAGCATACCATGGTACTTTGTTTTACATACACACACACACACACACACACACACACACACACACACATATACACATACACATATATATGTATATATATATATATATATATATATATATATATATATTTGGGGGTTAGGGAGTAAAGAAGAAATTATCCCTGGGAATTTCTTTCCCATCATCTCTTTTCTTTGTTGATTTCTTTAAATTCAGTTCAATCTACTTTAATGCAATAGCCATTTATGAAATTTTATAGTCATTTAAATTAAATAGGCATTGATGAAAATGTGTTTGAGAGTCAAACACTGCTAGATGCTGGAATTAAAAAGACCAAAAAAAAAAAAAACCAGTCCCTGCATTCAAGCCCTCAAGGGATATTTTATTGGGAGGAACACACACGCACACATACACACCTACACACACACACACACACACACATTATACATATATGGAGAGACAGAGGGAGATACAAATAAATAAATAGTAAATCCATATGAAGTAAAAACAAAGAAAGAGAGAAAGTTCTACAAAATAAGAGCATTAGGAAAAGGCTCATGTAGGAAGTGGCTATCCCTGGAGGATGCAAAAAATACCAAGAGACGGAAGCAAGGAAGTATTACAGGCCTATAAGACAGCCTATCAAAAGACATCAGGTGGGAGAAAGAATGTCATGTATAGAGAACAGGAAGTAGGCCTCTTGGGCCATAACTTTGAGGCAAGTAAAGTGAAATCAGTTTGTAAAGGTGATATGAAATCCTATTGTGAGGTGTTATGAACGCCCATTAAGGGTTGGGGGTGAGGGGGAGTTATTTCGTCCTGGAGACAATAAACAGATGGTGAAGCTTCTTTAACAGGCCAGCAGTATAGTCAGACATGCAGTAGGTATTTGACTTTAAAAACTGTGGAAAATGGATTGGAGAGGAAAGAGACTGTTGGCAGGCATTAGCAGGTGTTGCGATGGTGAAGATACTTGAGTACTTGAGTTAGGGTAGTGGCTGTGTAAGTAGAGACAAGAGAGAGATGCAAGCATTGTTGCAGAGATACAGTGAGGGAGGTGTGGCCACTGATTAGCCCTAGGGGATGAGGAAAAGTAAGGAGTCAACCATGACTCTAAGGTTGTCAACTTGGGTGACTGTCTAGATGTTAAGTGCCCTTGAAAGAAGTGCATTTCTTCCTCAGATGACTCTAAATCTAGTCTTACCACTTCAAGATTAACCAAATCAAAATTAAATAAATGTAGAGGTATAAAATTCCTATCACATACCCAAAATGAAGAAGGGAATGGGGAGAGAGGAGAAAGCTAATTGGAAAGAAAGGAACATGGTCTCTAAGGGTAGATTATAAAAGCAAAATGGATTAATCAAATAAGCAGTTGTATTTGGATAACGGATTTGCAATTCCTTTCCTTCACAGTTACCGTAGGCACACATTAATCTTGGTACTTTTAATTTTGAAATGCTTTTCAAATCAGTAGTTGATGAATTATGGTTCTGTGTTCCATAGGTGCACAGATATTTCAAATGCCGCATTTAGAAGTATTCATTGGACGTCCAACACTGATGGAAATAAATTCTCGTGGCTATTGGGATGACACTGACAGTTATACAATTGAAATTACTGCAGTCAATAGATACTTACGACAAGTAAGATAGAATTTCCCATTAACAGATTTTTAAACCGAAACTTAATAGTCTTTGAAAAGCCAAAGACAGCATACATATTGAACTGTTTCATATGCTCTTTTTCACATTAGAGAAAAAAGTGCTAATACTTTTTGTATCACAAAATACAAATCTCCCTTTCTGTGGTACATCCATTTTTAGATCCAGTTTTAGGCATCTGTGTCTAGATCTATTTCTATAGCCAGCTCCATTTCTCTACCTTTTTATAGATGGCCCATGAATCAGTTCCAAGGACATCTTGAGTAAGCAATCTAAGAAAAGATAGAGCATATCCAAATACAAATACTAGTAGGGGGCCTGAGATCATTACTGTGGAGTCAGAGGCCCAGGTGGAGTTATTGCTGGACAAGTCAAAAGCATTCAACATTGTTGATGGGGGTCAATAACACATCAGAATTTAGGATTGGAGAAAGTGTTTTGTTTTGTTTTGTTTTGTTTGAGGAGGAGGAGAATAAAAGCAAACTCCCATAGTTTCTCTCCTTGCATTGCCTCAATAGACCTGAATTTCTAGGTCAATATAATCTATCATATCTAGGAGGTTCAGTGCATAGAACACTGATCCTGCTGTCAGGAAGACCTGAGTGAAAATCCTGCTTCAGGACTTACTAGTTATGTAACCCCGAATTGGTCGCTTAGCCTCATTTTCTCCATTTATTAAATGGAGATAATAATAGTACTGATCTTGCAGGATAATTATGAAAATCAAATAATTCAAAATAGGTAAATCTCTTTGGAAGCTTTTAATTATTTGTATTGTTATCATCATTTTCAAAGCAATAAGTCTGTTAGCTGGGGCATTGTTTCAGGGTTTGTTGTATTGACCTCAAAAAGCTTTTGTTAAAATAAGGTATACCTACTGCTAGTAATTTTTTGCCACTAATCAACTATGCTGATAGTCATTTTTCCTAGAAAGAATGGTATAATGCTTTTGTTATGACATATTCTTAAAGAGCTTCCTATGGTTGTTAACCTTTAAGTATTGACCTTTTTCTTCTTTTGATCTTATTAACTGGACATAAATTATATGACTCTCTCCTAGGGAATGACTTCAATTTCATTCGTAGTTTGGCAAGCATCAATATTTTGCTATATGACGACAATTATATTAACACTGAAGGGCAGCTGTAGTTGTATCAAAACAATGTATCTTATTCCTAATCAGGAAATTTCCATGTCTGCTTGGGGAAATGGAACATATAGAAATAAACGTGGTTTCAATATGATCAAAACCTTGCCGGTAAGGAGAGATTGTACTAAGAAGAGCAACCATACTCTTTTACTAATACATAGATAACCAGCTTTTAGTTCAGGCATCTTTCTGAGATGCTCAAAACCCTTTATTATTGTTTTATCTTGGGGGTACTGTCATTTAGAAAAGGCACTAATGAATTTGGATAGAAAACTGGAATAAGTAAATTTTCTAGAACAGCAACTTTCAAATTGTCTCATTTTAGAATCAGAATTAACGATTCATATAATCAGTGTGAACAATCAACTCTATAATCCTTATGGTGAAAATAATGTAAGGCATAAATAAAACTTTTATTAAATGGGAAGGCATACCTCAGGGCTCCATGTAGTCACTGAGGGTACTATTTGGATTGTAGGGAATGGGCTTGGCCCAGGCCAAATCAAAGCTCACCTTCTGTCACCTCCTGAGTCACTGGGGAGGAAAAAGAATCACTTGGAAGATTCTTAGTTTACCTAGGAAAATGTCACTAGCTCCTAATGAATTGAAAGTCCTTTTAATCCTTAAATATAGTAAACTTTAAAATTTGATGATCTTTGACAATCACTAAGTTTTTTCCAGTGTCCAAATATTGGTTTCCTGCTTTATAGCCCTGTGCTAGCTATGACTCTGATCTTATTCATCTGAATTCCAATATATACCATGAATATTGATTTTCATCGAAAATTCCAAACTCAATGTGCTCTTGTTGACTCAGTAAGAAATCTCTTCTCATTAATAATATTTTCTGTAATGGAGAGAATTTGCCAAAGTATCTTTTTCTAATAGTTCACCCTTTCCCAAACACTGCATTCATATTACAAAGGGAGTAGAGGATTGCAAGGTTCAATTAGTATATGCTTTGAGTTTATTATCAAGTTCATTAGAAGTTTATTTAAGTTTGCTTTTAGTGGTTAGTTTATATAAGATTCAGTTGAAAGAGAAGCTGATTAGAAAAAATCATCACATGGCAAGAGAAAGCCTGAACTCTAACTTTTACTGATGCAATTTAAACAGGTAATCTGAGGACTAATAGGTTTTATTTCTGACCTCAGTGAATATCTTCAACTTCACATTTATCCTGCAACCTTGCAAATTAAAATAGTCCATATATGCAAATTTTCCAAATAATGGATGTGTATCTCTCTAAGTGTCAAACCTTTGTCTTTTCTTTCAGATAATTATCAATTCAATAAAGATTTAAGTGCAAACTAGAAAGATAACGTGCTAGGTGTCAGAGATGGAGAGACGAAAAGTAGCCCAGATCCCTGCTTTTATAGGAGCTTGCAATCTTCAAGCAGGGATATGATGTGTTTATAGGAAAAATACTCTAAGAAGTCAGTGTTGTAGAGGCACAGGATGGGTTCAGATGGAAGTATTTATAAAATGTATTATTCACAGCCCTGTCTTCTTCAATAGTGTCTTTTGGACATTATTCAACCTTTTCTTGATGACTAAACATCATCAGTATCATTATGAACATCCTTTGCCATTTATTTATTTTTTAAAATAACTGATATACTACATGCAATTCTCAGTACTGGTCACTAGGGGGCAAACAAAAACTAATAAGAAATAAGATCTGTTCTCAAGAAAGTATGATCGTTATTGATTGCGACTTGGTTATAATACAGTGAGGTTCTAAAAGGGCATTTTCAGATGAGTGTGTCCCCTTGTCCCTAAATCGACTGACTCCTATTTACAGTGTTTTATTAGTCCTCCCCCTCCTGTTTAGTTGTCATTGTTGTCAGAAGTCTAAATAGAGCGTTCCTGTACTATGGGATTAATAAGCTTTTTCCAACTAACAAAAAGTTTGCCCTCTGTCAGATCTTCCCTGGGCCATTGTTGATCAAGGGAGTTATTTTAAACAATTTGTTTGACTTGATTCTTAAGAGAGAATTAAATAATATACTTCAATTTAATTGAAATTTTCTAATAATAATTTATATTTTCTAACATATTTGCTAATGATAATTTATGTTTTCATCAACAAGCACAATGTCTTGCACCTCTTATGTGCAAGGCATTGTGCTTGTTGCTCAGGCTATTAAAACAAAATGAGATAAAATGAAGCAAAACAGAGGAAACTATCTCTGCTCTTGTGATGCTTACATTTGACTGGAACAGGTAGATCAATGAAAAACAATTAAATATATTTGCAATATCAACAAATTTAAAGCAAGATTTTATTTTGTAAAGCTACAATTCATTAATCTCATGAATAACGAAGCATTGACTACAAATGAAAAATGATAAACTACTTTTCAGATATTTTCATACATTAACAGCAAAGTATTATTAACTCCTGTGCCTAAATCTTATCTCTGAGCTAACAATATTTTGTTCTCCTTTTACCCTCATCCCTATTGTTCACTTATTTTGAAGTAAATTCCCTCAAAAATTTCTAAATAGTACCCATATTTGGGACTCCTGGAACTGTGACCTTTATCTCAAGTGAAAGTGCATTGGAACCTCAATCCTAGTGAAGTCCTAGTAAAAGGGCCTATCATGTGCTGTACTTAGATTTCCTGTTTCCAGGAAACTGAGCTAACAGAAAATGTGGGCCAACAAACTAGGGGTGAGGGAGTCTAGTTGGTAGAGTTAAAACAGTGATGACAGCTCCTAGACAGAGAAAAGAAAGAATAATAAAGAAAATAAGAATACCTAAGTAAGTCTAATAAAAATGTCAATGTGACTTAAGCATATGCTTACCTTCTAAGCCCATTTGTATGATTATGTTTAATTCCATCCAGGAAAACTACAGGCCTCCATCCCACTTGGGAATAGCTATCCCACTCACAAACAACTTTTATAATGCTGATCCCAGCAAACCTAAGCCAAGAAATTTATTTCCTGAATCAAAAGTAAGTCATTTCCTATGGTCACACAGTGTTTTTTTTTTTAAATGGACTCTAGGATACCTTCAGTGTAACCATATAAAAAAATTCTCTGTAACTACTGCCAAATGTCATGAAAATCGACAATACATTATTGATGATGTATTACATTTGAAACTTTTTTCATTGCCATTTGATTTCAAAAAGAAAGACTGTACCACAAATGAAATATAAGGCATTTTTGTTAGAAAATATTTTCAGCTCCTCTTAGTCCACAGTGTTCTGTATATCTTTGGTCTAGGAAGGGGAGAAATTAAAAACAAAACTAAAGTATATGAAGTATACTATTCATATATATATATATATATATATATATATATATATATATATATAAAGTATACTATTCTTATTTTCCCTGTGATTATCTTGTTCTCAATGAAACATCACTCCCTGGATATTACATTTCTTGTCTCATTCATGGTACATTATCTCAAGTTCTTCTATATTCCCTCTCTCTTCTATATTCCCTCTCTTTCTCCCTCCCTCCCTCCCTTCCTTCCTTCCTTTCTTCCCTCCCTCCTTCCTCCTTCATTATTTCCTTCCTTCCCTCCTTCCTTATTTTCTTCCTTCCCTTCCTTCTTTCTTTCCTTCCTTCCCCCCTCCCTTCCTTCCTTTCTTCCTTCCCAGCTTGAGCCTCACTTGCTCATTGTTTGGGTTTTGATGGCTCTGAGTGAATGTAAATAGCGACTGTTTCTGTTCTGGCCAGAAATTCTGAGGTTCTTCCCCTCCCAGATTGATTCTTTTGGGAAGGCAAACTAGACCATCTTTTCTCTCAGTTCTTGCCTAGCCTTTAATCACAGGATGAGTGTTATCTCAGACAAACTGAGACAGGGGAAAAACCTGAACGTAAAAAGGTCAATGTCTCCCCCTGCATCCAGGGCTGTTGCCCATTGTTCTCTACTGTCTTGCCACTGGGCCCAGATGTCTCTGTGGCAGAGAATGAGGCTGATGATTTTGCGCAGCCCTGCCTCACTCAAATCCAATTCATTTGCAAATCAAGACATCAAGCAGGAAGACTTCAGAAAAACCTGGTAAGCTTTGTATGGTTTGATGCAGAGTGAAGTAAGCAGAACCAGGGGAATGTTTTACACAGTAACAGCCACGGCCATGTTGTGTGATGGTAAATATTGATAGGCTTAGCCCTTCTCAACAATGCGAGGATCTAAGACATCTCCAAAAGCCTCATGATGGAAAATGCCATCCACATCCAAAGAAAGAACTATGGAGTTTGAATGCAGATCGAAGCATACTATTTGCTATTGTTTTCTTTCATTGTGTTTTGTGTCCCCTTTCTGGTAGTTCTTCCTATTGATTCTAATTCTTACTTACAACATCACTAATGTAAAAATATGTTTAATAGGAATGTACATGTATATCCTATATCAGATTGTGTGCCGTCTTGGGAGGAGAGGTGGGGAGGGAGGCAGAGAAAAATGTTAAACTCAAAAGCTTATGGAAGTGATTGTTGATAAATCAAAATAAATTAATAAAATTTTTTAAAAATCAAGATATCACCCTCCTGATAGCATTGGTCCTCGAGAACAAAGGATGAACAAGAACAAGAACAACAATAACAACCTTCCTATGACCACGAAGAAATTATTTTTCTTGGGCAATGATTTTCTGTTATTGTCTATCTCTCCGATTGTCTGTGAGTCAGTTAGTCTCTCTGTTACCTCTAAGAATGTTTCAATCTCATGGTCTTGTACCCAGATTTATAAATTAATTCCCCTAGACATTTAAATGATAATGCAACTCATTACAAAATTTGTTCTCAATAATCCAAAATAAGACACCCTACAAAGAACCTTTTATAAGATAGTGCCCTGATAACTGAACCAGTAGGGTATATAGAGGAAAGAGAGCTATAGACCATTCTCACTAAAAAATTTTATTGCAAAAACTTTTAACAAGATTTAACAAGTTTCTATATAGCAAAATATAAAAGGTATTAATTATGAGCAAGTTGGATTTAAACCTTGGATTCAAGTATTGATGAATATTTGAAATGAGCAGAAGTCATCATGTGAACAACAGAAATTATATAGCTATACAAGAGACATAGAAAAAATTGAGAAACTACAGCATATATTTAGGTTAATATCTCTGTAAATCATGGATGTGGAAGAGTTTTCTTTAATATGACCAAGAGTTCATATGTAAAACCAAGAGCTAATACTACCCAAAATGGTGAAATAAAAAAAAAATCAGAAACCTTTTTAAAAAGATGTGATGAGGTTCTTGGTATTGTTACAAAGAAAGGCAGTTAAGTATAGTACTGAAATCAGTAGCGAACAGAAAAATTTGGTTAAATATAGAGCACAAAAGCAAAGAAAGAAAAATGTGAATTTATTAGGCACAAGAAACAAGAAAAGGAAAATAATAGTCAACATATCTAGGACACTCTAAGTTTCATGTAAAGTACTTTCCTCACAGCAACCTTATGAGATAGGTAGTTCAAGAATTATCCCTTTTTTCAGATGAGGAAACTGAACCTCAGACCTGTTGAGTAACTTTGTCATCATCGCAGTGCAGCAAATGCCAGAAAAGGGATCCCACACTCTACTACACTGTGTTACTTTAAAAAATTTTTTTTTCTAGTTGCAAGGAAAGACAATCTTTAATACTTGATTTGTTTTTAAAATTTGAGTTCTAATCTTTCTTGATGCCTTCCTCCCCTCTCCCCTCCTGAGACGGTAAGCAGTGTGATATGTTATACATGTGCAGTCTTATAAACATATTTCTGTATTATTAATGTTGTGAAAGAAAACACAGATGAAATAAAGAAAAATAGTACACTTTGATCTGCATTCAGATTTTATCAGTTCTGGAGGTGGATAGCATTTTTCACCTTGAATCCCTTGGTATTGCTCAGAATAGCTAAGTCATTGACAGTTAGCTCAGAATTGCTGTCATTTACAGTTGATCATTGTACAATATTGCCGTTACCATGTATAATGTTCTCCCGGTTCTGTTCACTTCACTATTTTTCAGTTCTTGTAAGTTTTTCCAGGTTTTTTCGGAAATCATCCTGCTTGTCATTTCTTATAGCACAATAATATTCCATCACAATCATATACCACAAGTTGATGGGCATCCCCTAAATTTATAGTCCTTTGCCACCACAAAAAAAGTGCTAGAAATATTTTTGTACAAATAGGTCCTCTTCCTTTTTCTTTGATCTCTTCGGGATACAGACCTAGTAGAGGTATCACTGGATCAAAGGGTATGCACAGTTTTATAGCCCTTTAGGCAGAGTTCCACATTGCTCTCCAAAATGACTGGATCAGTTCACAACACTACCAATAGTTCATTAGTGTCCTAATTTTCCCATATCCCCGCCTACATTTGTCATTTTCCTTTTCTGTCATATTAGCCCATCGGATACATGTGAGGTGGTGCCTCAGAGTAGCTTAGTTTGCATTTGTCTAATCAATAGGGATTGAGAGCATTTTTTTTCATATGACTATAGACAGCTTTGATTTTTTTGTCTGAAAACTGCCTGTTCATACCCTTTGACTATTTATCAACTGGGAAATGGCTTGCTGGGGGGAGGCCAGCTGCTGAGTGGCATTTCACCCTCATCTCAGTGAAATAGACCTTCTAAGTTGTCTTAAGCTGGAAATATGTTTCACCCTATCTTTTTATTGGTTCTGCCACTCCAGAATTCGTTTTGAGTTGTTTGGAGGAGCATTAGGAAGAACTCAGGCAAGTTTTTGCCTTACTCCATTATCTTGGCTCCTACATTGCTATTTTCATACGAGAACTACAGTATTTTGATAGACCACAATGAAAAGTTTGAACTTTTTACTCAATATGTTTTACCCAGTATTTTACTCAATAGATCAGGTCTACGTGGAGAATAAAAATCTCATCAGTTTAATTTCCCCTCCCCCCTACCCTCTCCCTGATCTGACCTTGAAGAGAATAGCCAACTCAGCTATTACCTAGCTGTAGCATCTAAGTCTCAACTGTGGGCCTGTGCTACTACTGACTCAGGTTGAAATGTTCTCAGTTTTATGCGCCTCAAAGACAATATATTCCTCAAGTCTATTAGTCTGCATCAATCTGTAGGCAAGAAGGGTAAAATAGTGGCTAAATTGAGCTGGTAGCATCATATGGTGGTTAAATGTAGCTAGATGGGGCAATGGATAAAACGTTGAACCTGGATCTGAGTTCAAATCCAGCCTTAGACACTTAGTAGGTATGACCCTGGGGAAGTCATTTCACCTGCCTCAGCATTCTCATATGTAAAATAGGGATAATAATAGTAACTTCTACTTCCCAGGTTTGTTGCAGAGATCAAAGGAGATAATATTTGCAAAACTCTTTGCAAACCTTAAAGGGCTATATAAAAGCTACCTAATATATGATAGAGGTGGTGACAAAACAGGATGAAGTCTCCAGAAGTGAACAAGAAGCTGATGACAGCTTTTCTGAGGTTTTCCTTGCTGCTGGTACACAGGCGGGGGTCCTCCAAAAGAAAACATTCTCTCACCCTTATTTGCTTTCTAGGTAACTGGAAAGTACAAGAAGTGTTTCAACAAGTCCACTCGAGCAGAGTGTAATTGCTCCACTACAGAGAAGTTGTCTTACAGTATTGATTTCTCAGACTGCAGGGAAAAGGTGAGAGAATCTGGTAACCTGAAAACCAATTACTTAAATCCAAGATACTAAAAAATACTCTTTTGGGCAAAAACAAAACATAGTCTATCTGGCATATCAAGAAAATAAGATTCACTGTTTACTATTTATGGAACAAGGCAACAAAAACTTTAATCATTATTAAAGTCATGACTTGTTGGCCCATAGAGAAGGGAAATTTCTTTGGGACAGGGAGGTTTCTAAATATGAGTTATTTTACACAGGTATTTGGAGTATAAATAAAGCATATAGTCAGGCTAGGTTCACAAATGATCTACTATTGGCAAGGATGTGGGTTATTTTGTACCAGGAGTGAAAATAGAAACTTCTTGGTTATTCTATCATTAGCTTCAGGGTCAAAGATAGGCTGAACTCTCTCTTTTGGTTGGCCTTTCGTTATAAATTAAGAAATGGAAAATGAAAACCTGGGGGTTAGATATGACTGCCCCATTTTCCCTGAAATGGAAGCTTATTCTAAAACAAGGTTACTCCTGTCAAGGGGGGAAAAAGAGGCCCCTTCTATCGATAGGAAAATCCATTCCTTCCTCCTTTTCTATGTTCCTTCCTTCTTTCCTAACTTCTTTCCTTCCTCCCTTTTATCTTCTCTCCAATATACCACATGTCACAGTAAGACTTGAGTCTAAATAGCTTGTTGGACCTGGAGTCAAGAAACCTGGGTTTGCGTACAATAGAAACCTAGTTGTGTGATCATGAGCAAGTCATTTGGTTTCTCAGAATCTCAGTGATCTACAGGTATGTGATTACATTCATATATACACACGTATGTGCATATATGTGTGTGTATTTACAAAATGTTATATATAGTATGATTATATATAATTACATATAAAATTATATTATTTCATACATTTTAAATGGAAATGAGATTATTTTCATTGCTTACTTCACAGGGTTGTTGAGCATAATAATTGCATTCCTCTCTATAAAGCCCTTAAATGAACCATAGGTAGCATGTCACTGATGAAAGAAGAAGCCAGGATGGGGAACTTAGAGACTGCCTTAGTATTAGGAAAGAGGTTGGGAAAATGGCACCCAGTTTATGGCAGACTATATCTACTTTCTTCTTTATTTCCCTTGATAGAAGTTTGACAACGAGGAAGCTTGGTTGCCATTAAGGAAAACTTCCTCAGGTTTGATACATATGATATCAAAGAGGTACAAATTAAATTAGGTTCATGTAGCTTAAGCAAAGGAGTTGGACATCAAGGCATGGAATTACAGTCACCTGAAAGCAAACCACCTGGTACAGGCATGCTTGATTAGTGAGTGGTTCTGACTTTGTTAGTAACATCATCAGAGCACTCTGATTTCCCCAGTATTTTCTATGCACAGTTAATGAAAATATTATCCAAATCTATAAGCGACATATAAACACATGTGTTGGTTAGAAGTGATTAATTATATTGATGGATCTCATAGCTGAATGATGGACTTCCTGCTCCTTGGAGTAGCATAGAGGGCACAATAATGCAGGGAACTAGAAGGGTTTTGAACTAGGAACACACACTGGACACATATCAATCTACTTTGATTTATCTCTACCATTTTGATTAAAGCCTTAGACAGTTATGAACTTATTAGCATCCTTAAATGAAATGCATTTGGGACTAATGAAAGAGGTCAGTGGTATCAGGGTATGGTAGATTTGGTTAGAAATATAAAAAGATTTTTAAAAACCTAAGATTAGAAAAATATTTGAAACAAATACAAAGGTTGAAATAACTCCTCATATTTGTGGAGAACTTATTCAAATGTTAAAAGGAAAAATCTAGTTACCATTGGATCTATATCATCAAGGGTTTGAGCGTCCACTTAAAACCATAGATAGACATCTTATAAACCACAGCTGAGTCAAACACAAGGGCACAATGCTACTACTCCAACACACTCCCAGGTATGACTGGAACCAAAATAAAAGTAATTGGGACATACTTAACAAAATAAATGAAAATATGATAGAACATAAATAATGTTAATATGTGGTTTTCCAAGTCAACATGTAGCCATCAGGGATTGTTATGTATGGTTTAATGGCCCCTTTTCTTTTTGAGTTTGACACCATTGGTGTAAAGTCTTTTGAAAAGAATTAAAAGTGTTCAACCAAACTAATAATTAGAAAAATGAAAATAAAATGAACTTGGGGGTAACACTTCACATCTCAACTTGACAAAAGTATCTTAAATATTTCATTGCATGTGTTATTTTGCCCATATGGGTTATTGTCATTCAGTATGTCCAACTCTGTATGATTCCATGGACTTGTCCATGGAGTGTTCTTGGCAAAGACACTAGAGTGGTTTGCTATTTCCTTCTCCAGCATGTCCCTGTTTTATAGAGGAGCAACTGAGGCAAATAGGGGTTAAGTGACTTGCCTAAGGTTACACTGCTAGTAAGTGTCTGAGGCCAGATTTGAACTCATATCTCCCTGACCCCAGGCCAGTGCTCCATCCACTGCAGCACCATTCAATTCCTGCCTATAAATTTCTCCAAAAATATTTATCCAAAAATACAGGCTATAACCTACCCACATCTCTTGATCCTATATGTATCTTTTCTATATCCTCACATAAATTCCCCATAGAGATAAAGCTAACCTCCTGGAGGCCTTTCTCTAGATTTCCTTACACCATGTAAATAGCAGCATAGTACAAAATCTCTAGCCTCACTCGAGTTATACGACAAGCCTGGCTTCTTTCCCAAATACTGATTTCTTCAATGTTTTATGTCACTTCTTGTAGACAAGTTGGACATTGTTGGAAATGTGCCATAGCCAGTTCAGGTCCTCTATGTTTTGTTTTTCAATTTTTTGCATATCTATCACTATTCTCTCACTCATTATTTTTCCCCTCCCCCAGAAGCCTTCCATTATGATAAATCAGCAAAATACAAATAAATAATTAAGCAAAACAAGTCAAGACACTGATCACATTTGAAAATACATGTCCTATTGTGTGCCTTTAGTCCATCAGATCTCTGCCCATATGTGGGAGGTATCAGTCTTTTTAAACTATGAGTGATTTCTCTTCATCATTTTGTACAAGTCTTCCACGTTTTTCTAAAATCATTGAGCTCATCATTTCTTATAGCCTGATTTGAGAAGAGAGTTCCGAAGTCTTTCTGAGTTTTCATTCTTTATCATGTAAATTGTTCTGGTTCTGTTCATTTCACTCTGCGCTAGTTCATACATGTCTTCCCAAGTTTCCCTGAATTCATCATTTGTTCTTTTTTCTGTTACAATTTTATTCCGTTATATTAATAACCATATATATTCAATCATTACCCAAATGATGGGCACCTACTTTATTTCTAGTTCTTTGCTGCAACAAGAAGTGTTGCTATAGAAATTTTAGCATATTTGGATGTTTCCCTTCTGTCCATCCACTGTGGGGGCATATACCCACAATGATAGTATTATTTGGTCAGAGGTAAAGTTAAGGAATTTTTTGATATACTTTGAAAATGCTTTCCAAATGGTTGGACTAGTTTATGACCGGTACATAGCAATACCAAATATCTAATAAGTGGCATATCTAGGACTCAAATCTAGTTTTACTGACTACACATCTAGTATTATGTATAACCCTGACTCTTATTCCTTGGCACTTAAATTCTACAACTGTAGTTACCATAATTTTTAAAGTAATATGAATGATTTTTGTCCAGATTCTAAGCCCTCTTCTAATGTTTATTTTAGGTCCCCCGGTATAAGTTTCCAGTTACCCAATATCCCATCTCCTTGAACATCCGCAGTGAAGATTACAAAGAACTCAAGATGGAGCCTCCATTTTTGGTTACTGTAACTGAAGTGAATCAAAGGAAAACTGGAAAATCAGTAAGGCTTGCTTATTTCTGGACAATTTCTACTTGATCACAAAATACTGAATCATTTCAACCAGTAGGTTACAGATGGAGGTCCATAAGGGAAATCTTATGGGTCTATAATGGAAAATAGTTAGAAATGGCAGGCATGTTTATGTTTGTCTTGCTTCTATCTACCCTATTCTAACATTAATCCAGTGAAGTGTATTCTATTACTTAAAAAGATTTCAGGATTTTGGCCCCACAGAATTTGAAGACTGTTTCCTTGATGTCATAATCATAAGTTTAGTAACCTCTGGTTCCAGTTTGTCTAAATATGGTAGAATGGATTGTCTCTGCTTGCTTTCTTACTAACCTCAAATTGTTTGCTTAATAATGCAATACAATTTTCCATAAGAACTGAGGATAAGATCACTATCAAATTGATGGAAGACAGAAAGCTAATACATTGACTGATGATATCAAGACCTCAAAAGATCTTGACCAGTTAGGATAGAAAGCTGATGCTTAGAAGATAATCTTTAATGGGGATACACGTAAAATCTTGCACCTGAGTTCAAAAAATTAATTGCATAAATATAGAGTAGAGGAATGTTTGGTAAGAACACAATTCATGTCAAAAAGACATAGGGTGGCTATTGGAATATATTCTCAGTATGAGTCAGTTGTGTGATATGGCAGTTAAAAAGGTAAATGAGCTTGGGATATCTAGAAATATTATGTCCTGATACAGGAAAGTGACGAGCTTGATGAATTCTGTAACACATTTAAAGAAGGTAGGTTCAGTTTGGAACGCCACGTTTTAGAATGGCCATTGATAAGCTTGGGCCCATTCAGAAGAGAAGTGACCAGGATTGTAAAGACCTGGTGAAGAAAAGACTTATGCTTGGCTCCAGATGACAGAACCAAGAAGAGTGAGTAAAAGTTATAGTGAGGCTGACTTTTTTACAACATTTAAAAATGTATTAAAAATTTTAAAAACAAAACCTTTACAATCATTAGAGGAAGCTGTACTCCATGCATGTTATGCCACATCTGTACTTTTGTATTAGTGCTCTCCCATGACAGGAATGCACCTCTCACTCTGCCTTGGCATTGTAGGGGCAGGAATAGGGTGTGGTTGGGGAGTGGTCAGTTCTCAAAGGAACATGCAATTTTTGTATCTACTACACAGGTGGTTTACCTAGAGTTCACCACGAGAAGCCTAGACGGGTTTTTTGAGGGTGACCTTAAGGGAGGTGTGTTTTGTGTTTTTAGGCCTGCAACGTCACTAAGTCAACTGAAGATCATGGCCGTCCTGTCTATTATCAATCAATGTCCTGTTAGAGAGGATAGCTTGGGGAGTGGCCATATATCTTGACTTTTGGAATGTATATGGTAATGAGGGAGTCAGTACTTAATAGTTCTGCTGGTACAATATGGTCCTGTTTATACAAGGGAAATTCTACAGAGGTCAGCTTGTTCTTGTAACAGAGAGAGACAGTTTGCTTCACTGGGGTGCACTCCTGGCTTACTGCCAGAGATGTAATCTTTGTCCTAGGGTGAGATATGGTCTTTGGGGTGGGGTCCGAGTACCCCATCAGTAGAAATCTCGTTGAAAGGATAGGGCCTGGGGTCATGCAGATTCATTCCAGTGCCAGCAGATGGTCAATTTTGCAAGGGAAATTAGATAATCATAAACAATTTGAGCCTTTTCTTGCTCAGCTACCTGTGTAAGAAGTCACATACCTGGACAGAATTAGCTGTTGCTTCAGAACTGGTTAAATTTATCATCCTCCTTAGCAAGGGAAAGTCCCTTCAGAGACAAATTAGCAAGGGAAAGTCCCTTCAAAGACACTAATTAGTTGACAGGCTGGTTTCTGTTTCAAAAGAGCTTAGCCTTTAGGGCTAAGAGTCTAGTAATTGACCAACTTATCCTCTCATGGAAAGTCAGATTGTTAAGCATTTGTTAGGGGCCTACTAAATACCCACACACCATGCTAAGCCCTGGGGATATAAAGAAAGGGAAAAGAAGCCCTCAAAGAGCTCACAAGTCTAAAGGGCAAGACAACATGCAAACAATTATGTGCAAATAAACTGTGTACACCCATAGGTAGGAAATAACCAACAGAAGAAAGGCACTAGAATTAAGAGGAAGTCTTCTCCTGGGATTTTAGGTAGAACTTGAAGGAAGCCAGGGAAGCCAGGAAGAGGAGATGAGTTGAAAAGGCCACATATAATAGGTGCCTCCATTCTCTCTCCTCTCAGTCTCTTCTTAACCCCTTACAATCTGGCTTCTGGCCTTATCATTCCACCAAAAGCGCTTTCCCCAAGGTTACTAATGATCTCTCTCTTAGTTGCCAGATCTAAAGGCTTTCTCCTAGACCTCTCTGGGGCCTTTGACACTGTTCATCACTCTCCTCCTTGATACTCTCTTCTCTGTAGGTTTTTAGGACTACTCTATCCTGGTTCTCCTCTTACCTATCTGACTACTCCTCAGTCTTTTCTGCTGCGTTGTCCTCCAGATCATGCCCTCTAACCATAGATGCCCCACATTATTAATTTAACTTAATTTAAAAATGTTATTTATTTTTAACATTCTTTTCTTTTTTAAGTGTTGAGTTACAAATGGCTCTTACATTTATAAATTTGACTCAGTTTTTTTCGCATTATATATTTGAGAAATGATGCCTTTATCAAGAGAAACTTTCCCTAAAAATTTGTGGTATTACCTTATTGTGTATGGTACCCCTGATTATCTCTTTTAATTATGACTATTTTCCCTTTTACTTTGTCTGAGATCATAAAACGCTATACCTATATGCTGATGATATGATGGTTTACATCTTGTCTCATTGTCATTTTCTTGAATAAAGTTATTGATTCTATGATTTGTTGTTTGACTCACTCATTCTTTAGGATTAGATTATTTAGTTTCCAATTAATTTTTATTCTGTTCTCCCATGGCCCTTCATTACATGTAATTTTATTGCATCATGATTTTAAAAGGATGCATTTAATATTTCTGCCTTTCTACATTGGATTGTGAGGTTTTTATGTGTATCTTATGTGGTCAATTTTTGTGTATGTGCCACATACTGTCAAGAAAAAAAGGCATATTCTTTTCTATCCCCATTCAGTTTTCTCCAGAGGTCAACCATGTCTAACTTTTCTAAAATTCTACTCAGCTCCTTAGCTTCTTTCTTGTTTATTTTGTGGTTAGATTTATCTAATCCTGAGAGGGGGAGGTTGAGGTCTTCCACTAGTACAGTTTTGTTATTTATTTCTTCCTGTAACTCCTTTAACTTCTCTTCTAAGAATACGGATGCTATACCACTGGATATATGATATTGGTTGGATTATTAAAAGGCATTAAATTCCATTAAATTCCATCATATTGTATATCAGTGGAGTAGTTCCAGCATGGATTGACGTCCTTGTGGACCTTAATGCAGTTTTAGAACTCAAATGAACCAAGTTCACAAAAACAAGATGGGTTTTTACCCTATCATACTTTTTTTCTGCTATGCCTCACATACAATTTTTCAATTTGTGAGGAAAGCAGTGTTGAGAAGAAGCAAGGCTCTATGGGAGAAATTATTCTGTGTCCTTATGAGGTCTTATCCTACTTCCAGCCCTTGCGAGGATCCATTTCCCCTTCCTGAAGACTAGCCATCTCATCTCCAACTCTGTCTTGTTCTCTCTCCCTCTACATTTCTTGGTGCCATCTGCTCTTAGGAGCTTATGTAACCCTTCTCCTGGATCTGAGATACTTCTGAGAGACTTAACATATTATATCAGAGAAGGATCATTCCTAAGACAGATATTTATGTAAAGATTAAACCCTTCTTGAAGTTCCTATCTCCTTTTATAGGCACATTCCTCCTACCCATTGGAGTATTCTTCCACAAGATTCCCTATGCTCATCCTTCTTAGATTCATTACTTCTGGTATATCAGTATTCTCTAGCTTCCCTTCCCTCTCTGCCTGGGGTCATGAAGAGTCAGACACAACCAAATTGATTGAACAAGCCCAAGGTTGTTATTGTTATTGTTGTCTCTTCTCAGTCATGTCTAACTCTTTGTGACCCCATTTGAGGTTTTCTTGTCAGAGATACTGAAATGGTTTGCCATTTCCTTCTCCAGCTCATTTTACATATGAGGAAACTGAGGCAAACAGAATTAAATAACTTGCCCAGGGTCACACAGCTAGTAAGAGTCTGAGACCAGATTTGTACTCATAAACATAAGTCTTCCTGATTCCAAGCCCAGTGCTCTATCCACTGTACCACCTAGCTGCCAGATCTAGCCCCATGCTCTCATTTTATAATGAAGGAACTGGTCTGGTGAAGTGATTTTTCTCAAGGTGACAAAACTGGAATTAAAAACTAGGTCCAGAGCACTTTCTACAATATCATGTTGCCTCACTCTGACTGAAGCACCCATTGCCACAATGGTCCAGAAAAAAAACCAACTGTCAGAGACATTAAGATGTACACATCTTAGGATTGAGAGTCACTTTGAGGCTGAGATGGAAAAGCCAGTTTAAACTGAGGTAACCCAAACTGAGTCTGAGTCTTTGGTATGAGACCAACAGAGCTCACTGCCCATTGAGCTTTGGCTTGTGCCCCACAGATGAATATTAGATCTTATTATGGGTTGAAAGTGATTTTTAAAAAGCCAGCTTACTACTGTTCCAAAGTCTTTGTTTGGGTCATTTGCATGTAGCCTGAATTTGTGATATTAGACTGTGGTTTTCCTTGGATTTCTGAATCATTACTTAGTCTCATGTTTTTTCCTAGATAGTGTGAGAGCTGGGCTATTTTGATTCTTTGTATTGTACATTTTGCTTGCCTCAGATACTTTTCTCAAACTCAAACAAATCTAAGATTATAAGGCTCCCAGTAGCACCTGAAGTTATTAGTACAGTCATAGTGTATATGGGTAGAAATTAGAATTCTTACAGCAAATACAATATGGTAATCTTGTAGTTGATATTTATGTAAATATATTTGCAATTCACATTTCTTCTCAGTGATTAAGTTTCTTCATCTATGAATTGATGGGGTTAGAGGGATGATTCCTAAGGTTTCTGCCATTTTATGATTTCATTATACTTACTGACAACCTTGTGGGTTACTTTTATTATTCTTGTTAGGTTTCCAACCCTATTCTTTGAGTTTTAGCATGCTAGATATTCTGCAGATTCTCAAGGTTGGAGCTGATAATTTAGCTAGCTTTGAACACAAGTGCAAGTGACCCTAACTTATGAAAAGTCAGTCATGAGTCAGTTGATTGGAACCTGGAACACATTTTCCTATAGAAGCATTATTGATACTTGACACATTTTCAGGCCAGTCAATAGGTCTTTTGAATCCACAGTCTATTTGAAGCAGAGCACTGCATTAACAGTACTCTGTGACTTTAGGTAAACTTTCTACCTCATTGATCTCACTATCTTATCTATAAAATGAAAACAACTGCTATTATATGGAAAGTACTTTGTTACCCAATATAAATGTGAGCTCTTAAACATCATAACCACCATGGTGTTTTGATGGGAAAACATTTGCCTGAAAGATTCTTTTGTATGTTATAGAACAACATATGCCAGAAACTATGATGAAACTGAAGAATTATGTAGAAAGTAAGATTTTTCTTCCTGTCTATAATCCAAAGGACCTCAACTTAAGCATAACAGTAAGTTTATCTGTTTTTACTCATAGAAAATTGTCTCTTCCAATGTGTATAACCTCATATTTACCACTATCACTATGCAGGGCCATCTCTAGTGGCACTTAGCACAAGCCCAGTGCAAACTGGCTTGTGCTCTTGTCTCCTTCAAATATGAACAATTAAGGGGCTTGGTGTGGTCAACATGCCTTTGTGCCTTGCTAAGGAGGCTGAGCCTGGCATATCACCTGAGTTTGCAACTTCTGAGCTGCAGTAAGACTAAAGCTATTCTAGTGTCCACATTAATTTCAGCACAAATATTCTGAACTCCTGGCAGCCAATGGCCATCAGGCTGCCTAAGTTGGGGTGAACTGGCTTAGGTCAGAAAAATAGAAGAGGTTAAAACTTCCGAGCCAATCAATACTGAGATCAGCCCTGGGATGGCCACAGAACTTCTTTCATTTTGGATGAGATAGTTATACTCATTCTCAAAAAAATTAAAAAAAAAATGAAAGATAGGTGAGAGAGGGCAGGAGAAGGTAACGAGGAAAGTAGTAAGGAAGGAAGGTAGAAAGGAAAGTAGAAAGGAAGGAAGGAGGGAGGGAAGGAAGTAATGAAGAAGGAGGAAAAGAAAGAGAAAGATAGAAACAGAGAGGGAAAGAGAGAAAACTTCCTTCCCTCCCTCCTTCCTTCCTTTCTATTTCCTTTCTACCTTCTTTCCTTACTTCTTTCCTCCTAACCATTCTAATACACTTTCATCTGTTCATGAATTCCATGCCTTCTTTTCCTTATCCTTTTCCTGTCCAATAAGTCCTCAGCCCTGGCTCTCCTCTTTCTCCCCTCCCTCCTCGTAACCCCTTCCTTCCTTGTTTCTGCTCCTCTGTACAACTACAGAAAGTCACAAAATGGTCCTCGCAAAGATTCACTTAATTGGGAATTTTTACTGTGGTATTTAAATTTTTTTAATATTTTACTGCTGTGTGGCAATATTTTGATTCTACTCTGATTGAGTATCATTCATATTTCTTAGCTTCTCAGCTTCATTCCTATGCTATCTATATCAGCAGATTACTTCACCTTCTTTTTGCCGAAATTAAAATGAGCTCTTATGAACTCTTTCATTTCCTTTCTTGTTACTTCAAAAACTTCATTCATCTTTCTACACTTTCCAGTTTTATCTTATGAGGTGTAAGAACTGTCTTGTTTTTTGTGTTAAAAAAAAAATCCAGTGCTTAGCACAGTTCCTGACACATAGTGAACTCATAATAAATGCTTTACCTAATCTACATAATCTAACCCAGTCTCAGTAGATGTTTAATCCCTCTGCTTGTGCCCAACATATAATCCTTTTCCACCTCATTCAAGATTTCCCTATCTAACATTTCCTCTTTTTAGAAGTAAATCTCTCCTTCTTCTGGCTTCTTTTGACCCTTCTACCTCCTTCAGATCATTGACTTATCCTACTGACTCATTCCCACCTTTCTCCTTGGATACTTTTGACCCTATAGTTACCCATTTCAAGAATGGATCTCCCCTTATGAATTGTTCTGCAATGTGCCCAACTTGCTGATCCCAAATCCTGTCACTTGTCCAGAGCCATACCAATGAGTCAAAAAACAGACCATGGTACTGCTATTTATTAACATGTGAACTTGGACAAGTAATCTAACTTCTTTGGACCTCAGTTTCTTTATCTGTAAAATGAAGGTGTTGGACTTGTGATGTTTAAAAAGTTCGAGACACAGTTTGTGGGTAATTAATCATTTTATTAATAAAAGGAATGGTCATTTGGCCCTCTCTCTTTTGGACCAAACATGACTCATGGCAGTGGGCTCACAGTTTATATGCTCTTGGAAGAGTAGGTGTTCCTGAGGGTGGCAATCAACTCCTGTTAGTTAACAATTAGTGAGAGAATGAATATTACAATGAGAAGTAGGCTCACTCCAATGGGGGCTGAGAAAATGACATCATGTCACTCCTGGACAAAGAGACTATCTCTAAACTCAGACACCCCCAGCCTTGGGCTGGGGATCTACCTCCAACCAAACTTGCTTGAGTGGAACACAATGAATTCACTTTGGATAAGATGGTCTGGGTGGTATGAATTTTTGGCAGAGGTCATTAATGTCCTTCATAGTCTAGGCTTCAAATAAGAAAATAGGACAGGGAAAAAGCCTGGATCTCCCCCATAATTAGCTATTCCTAATCATTCCTCTCAGATTAAATAATTTCTACTATTCTTCCCAGCTCCTAAAGTATGCTGTGAAAATTCACTGGTTGATTCCACTACTAATTCTTTCTGTTTTAGATCAACTTGACTTTCATAGCTGCACAACCATCCTTCTATATATCTTTGATTAAATCCCTACCAAAACCTCATGATGGATTTTTGTCGTCTCTATTTAACACTCCCATGCTCATCCCTAAATCACATCTCTCTCAAAATATGATACATTTTCCTGCTTTAATGAAAATATTGGAAGTCTGAATAGAACACCTTCTATTTCCCTCTTCCACAATGTATATATTCTATCCCCCTTTGCTTAATTTATAAAGAAAAATGTAGCCCTCCTGTCTTACAATGAAAAACTTTCTTGTTGACCACTTGAGCCCCTACCTTCCTGTTTCCTCAGGAATCATTATGTCTCTTTTTCAATATCCCCCTCTATTCTGGCTCTTTTCCTGAGAGAAGGTCAGAGGAAGGCCAAAAATAAGAAGCTTTTCTCCTGCAAATTGGCAAGAAAATGGATCATTTAGAAGAAAATTATCTAAGGGCCTACTGGAAAAGATGTATTTATGTGATATACCGCAACAGATAGCAAAGTACCATGGGGGTCAGAGAGCCAAGACAGAAAAGGACTTAAATCATGTCACGTGAACCTGTAAACAAGGCAGATCAAAAAGATTCTGAACAATACAAATAATCCACACCAGTCTGTGGTGTTTATCTAGGAATCAGGGGCAGGCTAAGAATCTAATAGGCCCACTCTATAATTCCTGATTGATATTTGTTATGGAAGGAGCTAGTTCACCATTATATTTTTTGAAGGGGAGACAATTATATCAAGAGGTGAATACCAGAAGCTTCCGTTTCTCCACGGTGTTCAGGGTACAGTTAAGGATCTGGCTGACAAATTTTTTTTTTAATAAATGAGTGGTTTTCATAATCATAAGAATTAATTTTTAATTGTTGCCCTGTGCCAAGTGCATGTATAAATCCTATATTGCTTTATTATTAATAATGTTGAGTGACACTTGTATTGGTTCTCATGGGTTAAAATTAATTTTAAATACATTATCTGATTTCATATTAATAATAACTGATATTTACATAATGCTTTAAAGTTCACATGTTATCTTAATTGTTCTCCACTACAACCCTGAAGCACAGGTAATATATTATAGTTATTAACCCATTGTACGGATGAAGAAACTAAGGCTCAGCAAGGCTACATGACTTAAAATTAAGGTGATAAAAGTAACAAGAGAAGGAGATTATACTGGAATCCAAGACTACCAACAAAATCTTTTGGGTAAAATGAGAATGATAATACTTGTATTACCTACATAAGAGAGTTTTGTGAAGGAAGTATTTTATTTGAGAAACTACAGGAATCATTCATGAGTTATTATTTTATTCAGGGCAGCTAGGTGGTTCAATGAATAGAGTATGGGGTTTAAAGTCAGTGAGACTCATCTTTATGAGTTTAAATCTGGCCTCAGACACTTACTAGCTGTGTGACTATTGGCAAATCACTTAAACCCATTTGCCTCAGTTTTCTCATCTGTAAAATGAGCTGGAGAATGAAATGGCAAACCACTCCAGTATCTTTGCCAAAAAACAAAACAAAACAAAACAAAACAAAAATGGGGTCACAGAAAGTTGTACATGACTAAAACAACTGAACAATAAAACCATTATTGCTATAACAATGTATTACTATGTGAAATATAATATAGGAGAGCATTATAATAATGTTCTTTTTTGGTGGAGGTCAGTAGTGATCCTATTACAAGTGGCTTTTTTGTTATTCTTTTATATTTAGTATTTTGTAAACAATTTCAAAAGGGGACAAACTGCTTTTTATAACTAAAAAAAAGTATCATGGTTAAGCACCTTCTATAGGTTTACTGAGAGCATCTTCAGAACAGATAACAGATAGGATGATGGGAGTGACATGTGCTTCAGCCTATTCCCACATGGTTTGGATTTCTTTTTTGAGATTTCTACATTTTAAAAGCTTTTCATTCCATGTAGTTTGTAGATTTGGAGTGGTTGGTATGGCAACACCAAATTAAAATGTTATTCTTAAAATTTTATGCCCCAGTGTTATGAATGGGCAATCATAGACATTTTATTTGTAATACTGCTTTGTTTCCAGCATAGTGTGTTGTTCAAATTCTCAAGGATAGCTTAGTTTGTCTTTATAGGATGAAGGCTTTTTCTGTTTCTGAAAGACAGTGAATTTATGTGGTATAATTCTGACCAGTTTGTGTCTTTCTAGGTATCTCATAGGTACTAAACTTCTGGAACGTACAACATTTTGCATAATTCCTACTATTTCCCTGAATTCAACAATAAGTCCATTAATTGAATTAATTAAATCCTTAAGGGTAAATTTTATATAATTTCTGGTAGCAATGAATTGATCCTGAATTGTAACCTAAATCCCTCTGCATCTATAAAAAAATAATTTATATGATTCAGCCATTTGTCAAAAGCTTCTTATACTACATAATTTTAGTTGTATTCATATAGATATCATTCACCGAGGGTCTTTGTATTCCATTTTTCAGACTTAGTCATTTAATAGAGTCCCTCTGGAGATATCATCATTATCATTATTGCTATTATCAGTGTTATTATTATTATAGATAATTTTCATATTCTTCAGAGAATTCAGATAACAATCGTCCTGGGCTCATATCTTACTTTTAGTCTTCTATATTCTTCAAAACCGCTTTTTGCAGTTTAATGAAAATCTTCTGTCAGTTTATTGAAGGTATCTTCAATATAACTCCAGTAGTAAACAGACATTGGCTGATACTTATGTCATCGTGTTGCCCCATGGTTTTGATTTCCTTTGTAGGTCCCTATTTGAAAGGCCCCACATAACTTGGGAATTATGGGTATTTAAGGTAAGGATAGTGACTTTATTAGTATTAGGAAAATCATTCTACCAATGCAGGTGAGTTCCTTCTCTAGTGTGTGTTATAGTCTTAGAGGAGTCGTGCAAGTGACTTGTCCAATCATATACAGTCAGTGTAAGCAGAGCTTGAACTGAGACCATCTTGTCTCCAAGCCCAGCTCTTAGATTATATAACCTCTCTTACAAGCATTATACCACAGAATAGTAGCTTGGGGCCCTATTCACCAGACACCTTCCCTCATGCCACCAGCACCATCTAGCCCAGCTCTGAGTCGCTGTCCAAGGAAGAAACTTTAGTGGACATAACTCTGTCAACCCTGATATCACCAGCAGAAACCACTGAGGAATAGGCAAGCTTGCCTAGCAAAAACAAGGTGCTCTGAGGAAGATATAAGAAGTAGCATTAGCTAGACCTGTCAAATCACTGCCACCATCTTCCCTAAGACACCAGTGGAAGCAGCCCAGGATTCTGTGTCCAAGAGGCTTCAAAACAGAAGAGTACTTCCACTCCATCCCTATTTCTAGCTCTCCCCCCACCACTGACTCCAGGTATCATGGGGGCATATAATAGAAAATGTACTTTGAAACTACTATAGGCAGCTTCAGTGACCAAAGGCCCAGAAAATAATCTTCTCCCCACTAAAGTCCTAGACACTGCCAGTTCAATATCAGAAACAAATATTGTAGCACTAAGGGAGGACTCTGCTAATTATCCCATCCTATAGTAAAAGTAATTCACTTTATTTGGTAAGAAAATGTCTTAACTGAACTAATCAGAATAGTGTGAATAGAGCCTGCACACCTTTTTAAATCAATCAAATCTTACTATGAGATCTGAGAAACTTTTATAGGAACTACCTCAAAGACAGATAAATATTTTAAGTGTCAGAAAGCAGAGAAAGAATGGATTAATACAAAACTGATGCAAAAACAACCAGCATACCAGAGGCAACCAATGAAAGGGGAGAGAGAAGACTGAGCTATGGCAGAGAAAAGAGATGCTGAGGGCCATCAGCCCGCAGGCAATTTTGGAGCAGAAGACTCAGGTTGATGCCACCAAATGTACCCATTTACTTGAGGACTGAGGGAAGTTCCAAGAAAAATGTCTGTTCTTTTCCCAGCTTCCCATCCCATTATTTATCTGGGTTTTTTGGGGGTGGGGTGGGGGGGATTGTTGTCCAAATGGTTCCAGCAACTGGAATATTTCCTGAATAAGTCAGTCGATCAATAAGTATTCATGAAGTTCCTATATCCCAAGTACTGTTATAAGGGTCTGGGATACAAATATGAAAAAGACATTGCCTGGCCTCAATATCTTACAATTAATGGGGCGGGGGAAAGATACAACACAGAAGATAAAGCTGAAAGGGGTTTGGGGAAAGTATAGTGCCCAGCCAGGACGTGATGAAGATGTCCAGAGGAGTGTAACCAAGTGGGAAATGAAGAGGCCAAGGGTTAACTAAAGCTTAAAACAAAGGTAAATTAAGCCAGTACCAAAACTCTGCCTAAATGTAAGGGATTTTCCTAACTTAGGGGCTCAGTTACAGCTTCCTCCAGCTGAGGGCCTGGCTGTGGAGAATGTATTCAGAGTACGTTGATGATGGCTTGATTATGATGGTACTATTCATCTACAACAAACTTCCTAAAGTCACAGAGTAAACCACCGGGACCTTTTCTACCACAGTATTCATCCCAAGCTTGTAACAACCTAATTATTGTAACAAGGTGCTACAATTGTATCAATGGAAATGACACAAAAGAAGATAAATTTCTCTCTGCCTTGCCGCAGCACACTCAGGACCACTGGGCCTTTATATTTGACGTACATGTGAACTTTTCTCTATATGTGATGTTTCTGCCCGTTAGAATGTGAGATCTTTGAGGGCAGGTAGATCTTTCTTTTCTGTATCTATTATCAGAGATAAACATAGTGTTTCTCATTATGTTCAGTCGTGTCTGTCTCTTCATGACCCCATTTGGGGTTTTCTTGGTAAACATATGGGAGTGGTTTGCCATTTCCTTCTCTAATTCATTTTACAGATGAGAAAACTGAGGATAATAGGGTTAAGTGACTTACCTAGGGTCACACAGCTAGTTAAGTGTCTGTTTGAACTCTCAAAGAAGAATCTTTCTGACTCCAGGCCCAACAGTCTATTTACAGTGCCCCCTAGCTGCCCCCAAAACATTGAATTGGTCCTTAATCACCACTATGAATCTCTCTATTTACACAAACACATTTACATAACTCACAATTTGTTTCACTATTCTTTGTCTATATGTTATGACTGAATTCATGAGGATATTTCCTGTGTAAGACTTTCAGGTTATACCTTTGGATCTTAATCGTTTCATATGACAAATTTAGAAGTAAATCACTTTCACTTTTACATGAAACAAATCCAGCAGCATACACTTGTTTTTGGCCTTTGCAGTTGCTTAGTGAAAATCATGCCTGCTTTTAAAATTATTTCCATACATTTTCCTGTTTGTCATATATTCTAAAAATGTTTATTATCTTTCTCCTTTTGCATGAAGTGTTTGTATTTCTATAGCTTCCTTGAAGTGACCGTTTCCATGTTTATTAATATCATATAAACTTTAACATTATACATTTTATGTTCAAAAAGTCTGGGCAGTTATTTTCTACCATGTGCTATATTATGGTATTTATGAGCTTTTTTTTGAGGGGGGGCAGATTTTTTTCTTTTGGAAGAATTATGATCATTGTTATCTCTGTGCTTCTTCTCCAAAAGCTCAGGCACTTGTTTTCTCTACAATCACATGTTTTTTTTAAATGTTGCTATCATTTCTTTCTCTTCTGTCATATTTCCCTCCACGTTTGATACACTTGAATTCCATACCAGTTAATCTAGTTTTCTCTTATTTGTAGAAATTCTCCATCAAGAATTTACTTTTTTCTAATGTAATAAATGTTTCTTTGTTTTGAATTTTGTATTGAATACCTAAGTTCTGATGTTGATTCCCTTTTTAAATGGATTTCTCTTTTGAATCATTCTTGAGTTTCATAGTATTGTTCCTTGTTCTTTTATTGGTTCTCTTTCACTTGTCTTAATATATGTTAAGTGAGTTTTTATACTCTTTGGGTATTCACTCATATTTCCTATTGTTTTAGAATCAGCTTGACTGATTTTTCTATTTTTGCTTGCCTTTATTGAGAGTTTTCTCCTTGCTCTTTAGTCTTTCCACGTTTTTTATATTCCCCCATTGCTCATTTTCTGCCCCATCTACCTCTGACAGGGAGCATATTATTCTCAGGTAGAACTGAAAATCTACCTCAGACTCCTCTCATTTGTAGATAAAGAATTTTTCATCCTGAGTCCTTTTTGTCTGGGGGTCGATACCCTTTGCTAGGTTAGTTAAGGATTTAGCAAACATGATTAAGCTACCATCTTGGTGGTCACATGACAAAGAAGTCCAAAGTGAAGCCTTTTAATGACCTCAGCCTTTGCAACTTTTCCCTCAATAGATTTCATCAGCTCCCCACTTCTGTTATTCTATGTTGGTTAGCAATACATAGTGGTGTGACTTGGAGCTGAGATCCTTGACTGTAACTTGTGAGATCTGTTTCTAGTTTTGCCATGTTACGGTATTGGTGCATAGAGAAAGTATCATGTCTGCTCCATTTCACATGTATTTGTGGCTTGCCCACCTTAGGTGGAAGTACCACTCACAATGAAAAATTTCTACCAGGTAGAGTATTGGTATTCCTAAATTGTCCTGATGTAGTTTGCCTTTACATGGTACCAGAACACATAAATGGATTCTCTTTCTCTGTGACCCTCAGTGTCATGCTGATTACTACAATCGTTCCGAAAGCCTGCAATCTCTTGTCATCCCAGATAAATTCATGTGAATAGTTTCATCATATTGGCTGAGGAGATAAGCCAGTCTGCAATGTGTAGCCTGGACCCAATCGACTAATGCATCAAGATACTTCCAGGCCTTCACAGACTCCTATTATTAGCTGTCAGTCTCTTTTTTTTTTTCATTTTTAAGACTATCCAGTAATGCACCATGGTATGATTTGAAGATGAGATCATTGTTGAGAAAAAGCAGAATGAATTCTCCTTCATTACATAAATGATAAGTTGGACTTTGGGAGTTATCATCATCATCATTAATTGTTATTTGTTATTATACAACATAAGCTCTGATTTAATAGACCCTACAGTTAGGTTCTCCTTTAATTTTAGAATATTTAGTGTAATAATTCAATGCTTGAAATATTATTAATATTTGACTCTTTCATTACAAATGTATTTAAATGCTGGTGATACAATTTATTGCTAATTATTCTGTTTATTTTTCTCTAGGGTGCTGAACTCTTCCATTTCAGAGTAGTGGTTATCCCTGGAGTCACCTATTGTAACTTTTATGATGAGTTTCAGGTATGGTATATGTTCTGGGTCTTAGGGGCAGGAGTGATTGCTTATTATGTTACATTTAAAAGGAATATTGACATGAGTCCCCTTACTCCCTTTGAGAAAGAGGTAAAGTAACGATAATTGTGATTCTGGACACTAGGACAATGATGATCCCTTTGCTACTATTGTGTTCACAGATGAGCACAAAGCTGGTAAGCAGGCATTTGGGTTTCTATTAATAATTATTATATATAATAATTATTTTATAATTAATAATTACATATATGTATAATTCCTCATACTTATATAGAAGTTTAAGATTTATAAGGTAACCTTCAACTACCCTGTGAGGAAGGCCATGAAAATATTATTTCACAAATTTAAAGACAGGAAAATTGAAACTCGTAGAAGCAATGTCACTTTCCTACGTCACATGGCTGGCAAGTATCAGAGCCAGTATTGAAATCTCAGTCTCTTGTCTTCAAATCTAATTCATAACATAAACAAACTCCTTCTGCTCCTAACTTTTCCTTTCACTATCATCTTTTCTTGCCTAAAGGGTCATTCTAGTATAAAATTTAAAGGATTATTATATATTAATGAGGAACAGCACAAAGTACAATATTCCACATGTGGACTGAGGCATAGCACAGTGGTACTGTCATGTTCTTAGTCATGGATGATATATTAAGGCAGCCTAGGGTCACATTCATTTTGGGAGTCTGCTATGGAACACTTTTGACTTGCATTGTGTTTGAAATTTACTAAAATCCCAGATTTTTTCCAAAGGAAAAGTGACATTTTGAAACCGAAAGTAAAATAATATACAAAAATACAGCAAACATTTATTCAGGGCCTACTATTTGCAGAATATTTTTCCATGTGCTGGGGGATATGTATGTTTAGATGAGATTTTATATATTTCTATTAAAATTTATCGTAATGTAGTTGACCCATTAGTCTGGTCCATGGGTGGTGAACCTGTTGCCTTAAGGCCACATGTGGCCATCTAAGTCCTTGACTGCTGCCTTGTGACTGAGTCCAAGTTTTACAGAACAAATCCTTTTATTAAGGGGATTTGTTCTGTGCGGTCTGAATTCAGTCAAAGGGCCACATGTAGGACCTAGGCCACATGTGACCTTGAGGCCACAGGTTCCCCACTCCTAGTCAAGTAAGATTTTTTTGAGCTCTGATGCTATTACTTAGATTACGTATTCACTTAATAAGCATGGCATATATACCTTTATATGTCATTAATAAAAATATGGAAGAAAATAGAAATAAATTATTTGCCCTGGGGACACGAGTATAAATCTTTCCTCAGATTGCAATAAATCTCTTAAATCTTTGAGTCTAGGTCTTGCATCCTGTTTAAAATACAACTATCCACTAGAATCAAACTTAAATAGAAACAGGTGCCACCAATCCATACGTAAGGATCCCTGCAGGCTACATATTGACTCTGAGTCAAAAGTAGTGTAAGTTTTGATGTCTATAAGTTTTTATAAATCAGTTTTCTGTTCAGGCCATACTCAGGAGTTGTATGGGCCATAAGGCATCCACAGGTCACATGATTGACACCTCTGCTATAGCCCACACCTTTACACTTTTCCCACTGCCATTGAGTATTTGGCCACGGTAACCCATGAAACAAAGCAAAACAAAATCCATCATGTATGTATTTTATTTCTCCTATTTACAAGGCACTCCATTAAATACAAACCAATCTTAAGTAAGGACAATGCCAAAGAATGCTCAAATTACTGAATAATTGTGTTCACTTTACATACTTGACTCCTACAACCATTCTGTGAGGGTATGTGCTACAGGCATTATAATCCCATATTTTCATTTGCAGGCAGCTTGGTGGTATAGCCAGCATAGAGTGCTGGCCCTGGAGTCAGGAGGACCTGAGAATCAAATCTGGCTTCAGACACTTACAGTTGTATAACCTTGGGCAAGTCACTTAACCCTGTGTGCCTCAGTTTCCTAATCTATAAAATGAACTGGAGAAGGAAATGGCAAATCACTCCAATATCTTTGCTAAGAAAATCCCAAATGGGTGACAAAGAGTCAGAAATGACTAATCAACAAAAGCAACAATCCTCATTTTACTGATGAGCAATCAGCTTGAGAATCGTCTCAAGTGGGATTTGAACATTATTCCAAATCTAGCCCTCTATCCATTAAACTACATTGAAATGAAAGGGAACTATAGGAATACTTACACCCCTAGTTGACATAGCCATATAAATAAACCCAGGATATACAAAACCTTTGATTGTAACTGCAAATATTTGACCTGCCTTCCTTTCCCTATTTTAAGTTGCCTAATTTCTTCCTCCCTCCACCATACATTCCTCTTCTGGGATAGAAATTTGAAGGTAAGGTCATCTGTTGTGCTTAAGATGAATCTAAACTTTTAGCCTGCTATCACTTACTGTTGCTGTGATATATTGGTCTTTACTTGCTTTTATTTTTGTCTTTGTACTGTAGGTAATATCTTGTAAGGGAGGAAAATATTTAGTCAGAGATTTTGCATTAACCTAGAATATGCTTTCTCAGTTATCCACCGCATAGTATCCAAAGTTGAATAGTTCCTCCATGCCTGTCACTTATATTGTGAATTAATGATCTTTTAAAAAATTATGGATATTCTTAATTTTTACATTGTCTTCTTTTCTAAATGCATCCCTCCCCACCCTCCAGTGGCCAATGCCTTCTAATTCTCCTAAAAATGTTTTTAAAAGAGGTTTATTTTTTAAAGTAGTTTAGCAAAACTGTCCATCACATCCACCAAGTGTGGGAGTATGCACAAAATTCCATGCCCATATTTTACCACCTCCATAAAGAAAGGAGGAAGGTTTATTTTTTCTCTTCTTTTCTACAGAGACAAACTTGATCATTATAATTATTCAGATTTCAATTTGCCTTATCGTCATATGTTGTTCTAGTCTGTGTGTTACACACACATACACACATATCATTTTCTGAGTTGTTTTGTTGTTGAACATTGTTGTAATCATTGTGTATATTCTTTTCCTGGTTATTTGACTTCACACCTTGACTTTGTTCTGTCAATCTTTCCAAGTGTCACTCATTATTTCTTCATAATTAATGGGTATCTACTTTGTTTCTAATTTTTGCTATTACAAAAAAGTACTTCCAAGAATGTTTGATGTACACGGGACCTTTTACTCGGCTTTTGATATTCTTAGTCTATTTATCTAATGGTAGCTTCGCCGTCTCAAACGATGTAGACATAATCACTTTCTTAGCATTAATTCCAAGTCACTTTCCAGAATGGTTAGTCAACTCACAGGTTCACCAACAATGTATCAGTGGGCCTGTCTTTCTAAAGCCTCCCTAAAAATTACTGTTTGAAGCTTTTGACTTCTTTGCCAGTTGAAATGCACATTAATGAAATATGAAGAGGGAATATTAATGAATTTACATGAAATTGAAACATATTAAAATCATGTCAAATTAAAATTTTCAAATAAACACAAAAACAAACCCCAAAGAAGCACAAAACTGAAAATCTTAGAAATTAGTGGAAACAATGAGTTGGAAAATAAACTGATTTACAGAAACTAAATGCTTGTTATTTGAAAGGACTATGGAAATTGTTAAAACTTTTGCTAATCCTATCAAAAAGAGAGAGATCAAATTATTAAAATTAAAAATGAACACGACAATATCACAGCAAAGAAGAAAAAAAGAGTTGTCAACATTGAGTAGAACATCCTAGGAAAACTGAGAATTTAAAAGAAATGAGGGCTGATCGTCCTATCTTCAATTAGATAAATTACTCAAAAGAACACATAATAGAGATCTTAAGAATGTAATTTCAAGATAATTGTAAATAACTAGAAACATACAATACAAAGTAGATGAAGATAATCTGAAAAGATATTGCACCAGTAACTGAATGTACGTGTAGGGGTGGGAGGAAATGGGGTGGAGGTGTGGGAGGAAACAGGAAAGACCTCTTACAGAAGATGGAATTTGATCTGAGTTTTGACAGAAGCCTCAGAAACTTAATAGCAAGAGGCAAGGGGGCAAAGCATCCAAGACATGAGATGCACTTAATACAAATGCATGGAGGTGGGAAACAAGATTATTGTATTTGAGGAATTTTGTGTAGACCATTTAGTTGGATTGTAAAGCATGTGGAGTAAATTAGGATAGAACGGTAAGAAAAGACCATACTATGAAGAACTGGAAATATTAAAGAGAAGACATTATATATTTGATACTGGAGATAACAAAAGGCCTTTGGAGCACCTTGAACAGGGTTAGTGGCGTGGTCAGACCTAAGCATTAGGAAAAAAAAAATCTTGACAACAGAGTAGAGGATATATCAGATTGGGAAAAGACATGAGGCTGGGTGATCAGTTAGAAGGCTATTGCAGGAATCCAGATAAGAGATGATGATACTATATTAGCATTAGGCTGCGTATACATAGAGAAGAGGATGATTGGGAGAGACATTGTGAGGGTAGAAATTACAAGATTTATTATCAAATTACATATATGGCAAGAGTGAGAGGAATCTAGAAATATATTGAGATTGTGGGCCTGAGAATCTGGGATGATGGTGGTTCCCTTTGCAGTAATAGGGAAGTTCAGGGTTTGAGGGAATTTCGTGGAGAGTTTGAGGGAAAAGATACCACAGCCTAAAGTTACAAATGCCTGAGCTGCTCTCCTATTTTGTTTGGCACGTTGTTGTTGGAGTTGGTGGCGGTGGTCCTTCATTGTCGAATCAGACCAATGACATCATGGGAGTGATGTCTTGACTTGTAAGTGAGGCGGAGCTGCACAAAACATTTGGCTCAGAAGCACTACTGATACCCTGAATCCTATCCAGGATTCCATGTGAAAAATGGAAATTACTGCATTGATACTACTTCTACTCCATTTTATATAGTACACTTTCTTACTCTTCCCTCCTTATCAGTATTGATCCAAACACTGATATATGTATATATATATATATGTATATGTATATATATATGTATATGTATATATGTATATGTATATGTGTATGAGTATGTATATGTGTACGTATATGTATATGTGTATATATATACATATATATATACACACATTTATATAATTAATGCTGCAGCATTATATTTTAGAAAAATAAAATAAAACTCGCAAAACCACTCTTGGTAAGATAGTCTTGCAATCTCTCTCCCTCCCTCTCCAGTCCCCTTCTCTTCCTGAGCTTCCCTGTGGATGGAAAATTCCTCCCTACTCTCCTTTTTCTCCAGTATGCACAAGACTCCTCAAAAGGAAAGGAAGGAGAGATTAAGATTTCATTCCTTTGACTTACGAATAGGGAAATGTGGAGAGAATCATTGCCTTCTTTACAGACTGAGTACCCCAACACCTAGAATGGTACCTGGTCAGCACCTGTTGCTTTCAGGTCTCTCAACCACCAGATACAGTTTCTCTGTAGGCTCTAGAAGAGTCCAGAAAGCACAAATCTTGTCCCTTATAGCCTGTCCTTGTGTAGCAGAGAGATTTATAGGAACCTAGGGGTAATGTCATAGACAAATATACCCAAAGTCCCTCCACAGGGCTGTTTGAAGCTCAAATGAGATTGTATGTAAAGATCTATTAAAAAAAATTACTAGCTATATCATTGTCATCTATTATTATTACATCAGGTTAAGTGGAAAACTACTGGAAAGCAATAGCTTTAATAATTAGAGTTAGTGATCCTAAAGACCTTTTCTTTCTGTTTCAGATTTATGTAGATGATGTACCACTTCCATTTCCAGGAAGAATTCTTATTGCCACTTCAACAGCTGTAGTACTGTGGGGATTCATTTTTGTATCATTTATGTTGGAAGTGTATAACATCAGAGTGTGGAAGCCATTTAAAAACATGATATTGAGAAAGAAAAAGGTATCATTCTCATTTAGGCCTGTTAGGGTAGCCATGGAGAAAGTAACAGGATGAGAGGAGTGGCTAATAGACACATTGGCACAGTTTCTCTTTTTAGTTTTATCTTACATGATATGTTATATAACGATTCTTGCTTAAATATGTTAAGTAAGTGATAGTCTCAAAGGATTATTATTTCCTGTAGAATAAAGTTATTCTTTGAAAATATGCATGAAATATTTGCTTTCATGAGTTTAACTGTCAAACTTTTGTGGATATTGGATTGAAAATTGTTCATTTTTTTTCTATTTTTCCTTATACCAATTATGTAATGTCCTCATTTGTTTCATTCAATATTTTTAATTGAATTCCTTGAATATTGTCACTCTAGCTTATTTTTAACTGGAAGTTGTATGGTATATTATAAATAAACCTCAAAATTTTGATCAAATTAAATATTCTTACAATAAAATTTTCTGAAAGCAATGAACAATAGTGACCATAGTAATCTAGTGTTTGATAAATGCAAAAGTCCAAACTTTTAGGATGAGAACTCACTATTTGAGAAAAATTACTGGGAAAACTGGAAAGTAACTTGGCAGAAACTTGGGATAGACCAACATCTCACACCATAGATAATAAGCTCCAAATGTACACATGATTTAGATAAACGATGATATTATAAAGCAGATTAGGGAAGCATGGAATATTTTATCTGTCAATTCTATGGATAGGGGAAGAATTTAGGACAAAATAAGATAGAGAGCACTATAGGATATAAAATACATAGTTTTGGTTACATTAAATTTAAAAGATTTTGCACAAACAAAACCAATGTAGCCAAGATTACAAAAGATTACAAGGAAAGCAGAAAACTAGGGGAAAAAAATTTACAGCAAGTTTCTCTGATAAAGGCCTCATTTCTCAAGTATATAGAGAACTGAGCCAAATTTATAAGAATATGAGTCATTCCCCAGTTGACAAACGGTCAAAGAATATGAATAGGCAGTTTTCAGAAGAAGAAATCAAAATTATCTATAGTCATATGAAAAAATGGCCTAAATCACTATTAATTAGAGAAATGCAAATAAATACACCTCTGAGGTACCATCTCAAACCTATCAGACCAGCTAAATGACAGAAAAGGAAAATGACATGTTTGACTTTATGTGGGAAAATTAGGCTCTAAAGCACTTTTAGTGGAATTGTGAACAAATATCATTCTGGAGAGCAATTTGGAACTATGTCTAAAGGACTAAGAAACTCTTCAGATTCTTTGACCTAGCAATACAACTACTAGGTCTTTATCCCATAGAGGTTTTTTATAAAGAAAAATGACATCTATGTACAAAAATATTTATAGCAGCTCTTTTTGTGTGGCAAGGAATTAGAAATTGAGGGAATGCACATCAGTCTGAGAATGGCTGAACAAGTTATGGTATATGATTGTGATTTAATATTTTTGCCCTACAAGAAAATGATGAACAGGAAACTGGGAAGGTGTATATGAACTGATGCAAAATGAAGTGAGCAGAGCCAAGAGAACATTATACACCATAACAGCAATATTGTATAGTGATCACTTATAAATTACTTAGCTGTTCTGAGCAATACAAGGATACAAGACAATTCTGAAGGATTATGATGAAAAATGCCAAGAGAGAATGGAGTCTATATAGGATTAACGTCCAGGTTCCTAGTGTTTTGTTCATCCCAATTTACTGGCCACTCCCAACCAGATCCTCCTTAGACCCCTCCTCCAATCACCCCAAACTACTTGACCACTCCTAGATCCCTCCCGCAGTCTTTCTGTATATAAGGTCCATCTCGTCTCTATTAAAGGGTCTCAGATTCTTAAAATCTAGCCACTGCTCAGATTCTTAAGATCTGGCCCACTTGCATTAATGATACAAATGCTTAGATTCTTTAAGAGTCTGGCCAACATGACGGATGTTCTAATAAACTTTGTCTTTGGCTGAAGGAAGGCTTGGATCAAATTCTTTTGGGCACGACCTGCTTGTTGTGATTTTGGGGTCCTCAGCACCCCTAATCCTCTAAACCTTAATACTGACATTAGTTTTAGTTATAGATTTGTATTTATCTAATTTTATTTTAAATTTTGTTTGTCTATGAAGTAAATTTCCCAATTTTCAAATTGTCAGATTTTTGGGATATGTAATTTTGTGTTATGTGCTTAGCACATAGTTTTATAACTTTGATATTTTTACTTTAACATTTATGAGGTCATATTTCTTTGCTATTTCTATAAGCATAATTTATTTTTATTTCTCAATAGTAGATTGTTTAGGATTACTTCTCATGAGTTGGCTGAAACAAGATGGCCTTTATAACAAGATGAGTAGAACACAGGCGACTTCTATTGTTAAATGGAAATGGAACATTTGAAATGACAATCAGCTAGGTCACTCAGGTTTTATTACCCTTCACAAACAAGTCACAACTCTTCCAGAGGCTGAAACCTCTAGTCCCAGTTGCAGCATCCTACATCTTCATAAAGCCCAGAGAGCCTTGTTAAACCTTTGCTGCCTGATGAATGCTTATTTGCCTGATTCATCAACAACTCTGCCTGCAACCAAGAGATGAATGTGCTGTTAGACTTCAGTGATCATTAAAATAGTTACAGGGATTATCCTGAGGTATAGGGGTCCTGAAAAGTGCTCCTAGAAGGTGGAGCTTCAAGTTACATGGCTGGTGTATAAAGGAATCTTGAGGGATGGGTTGAATACGATCATTTGCATTGATTGCTGAGTGGTGGTCATGAATCTGGCTGAGTGGTCTGGGGGCCATGAAGAACAGAATTGGACAATTAAATGATTTCCTCTAGAGATGGGGTATCTCAAGCCCAATGGTGGAATTTTACTGATAGTTCTCAACTGCATACAAGTTTATATGAGGCATATCAATACCGATCAAAGACATTTATCTTCTGAAGTTGCCTTAGGAGGCAACAAGATGGTGCAGTTGATACAGCACTGGACCTGAAAACAGAAAGACCTGAGTTCAAATCTAGCCTTGTGAGCTTTGTAACCCTAGGCAAGTCATTTCTGTTTCTTTCTTCAGCTGTAGTATAAACCTAGTTATTTCCCAGGGTTGCTGTGAGAAACAAATAAGATAACATTTGTAAAGTGTAAAAAAAAAAAGTGCTTAGTGCCTGGCAAGTAGTAGGTTTTTAGGCTTAATAAATTCTTGTTCCTTTTTTTTCTCAGCTCTATCCCCTCCCATTCTGAGAAAGGCAAAAGTTGCAGATAGGTTCGATGTCAATATGGACATGAACACTTAAACTATTTTTGTTAAATGAAGTTTGAATAAATGAAGGGCAACTGGTACCACTTTCTTTTTTCTGATCCTGTTCCCCAGGAAAGCTCTTAGTAAATCTTGAGCATGTTATTTGCAGACCATAACTCTTCTTCTATGCCATTCTTTAAGTAACCAGCTTAAGAAGTCCACTCTTTTAAGCTAGAAAAAGGAGAAAGTAGTTGGAGGAGGAAAGGTTTCTGGTGGATGGATCTTATGCACTTGGGTCTTATAAGGACATAAATAAGGTAGCAAAGTGTAATAGGAACTTTTTAATGTAAGTAGCTTTCCTTTTACCCTTTACAGTGATGGCCCAGTGACACAAGATCTGGTTGACCATGCAACGATCTATAATTTCTTCATGAGATCAGAAACCACTCCTATGTTTTGCCATTTAGCCTTTGTAGCCCACCTTTCCATGGAGCCACAAGGCTACTTGTGCTAAGACACCTTTCAACTGGCTCCCAGAATTGCAATATACCCTGAATACTCCATGAATTGCAGTATACAAAATATAATTGGGGATGGTGGTAGTGGGGTGTTGGGGGGGAGACCACATTTTCTCTAATATTGACTAATTAGGGAAAGAATAAGTGGCTCTTTATTTGACTCCCTAACACCCTATGACACTCCTGAGACTGTCATCTGACTAAGGCTTCAAGTTAATGTGAATTTAAAATGATGCTCTTTTGAGTAAGATATCTAGATGCATGTAGTGACATTTTTAAAGTTCTTTCACATAAATTATTCCCTTTTATTCTCATAATATTAATAATCATTCTCATAATAATAATATGAGAATATAAGATAATAATTATTCTCATAATAACCTTTTGAAGTAAGCAAGGGATGTATGATCTGATTTTAGACATTTGGAAGCTGAACTGAAACTTGGACATGTGAAGATTTGCCTGGTCTGACTAATAAGGGGACTAACTAATGAGTGGCAGATACCAGGTCTTCAGATTTGTAGTCCATTGATGGCTTTTTGTGCTATGTCCTTAACATTAACCAGGGCTGGCCTGTGTAGTAGGACAAATGTTCCAGAACAAGCAAGAGCCTTACACCAAACCTTACACTTTCTTTCACAATTCCCTCTTCACAACCAATTTCACAATTAACTTTTCAAATATTAACTGTGACCATTAACAGAGTCTTTGTTTTCCTGAGACACTCACTGGTCCCTAGCCATATTGAACATGTAACTAGAAGGAATAACCCTTCTCTGTAAAAAAGGAGTTAAAAAAGAACAAGGAACCTTGTTTTACTGATGGGAATTATTCTATGGGAAAAGGCAGAGATTTCATAAAAGGAGTTGGAGACTTTCCAGTGGGTCTTATGAGCAGGGATTAAGTGCTTAGACCACTTATCCTGCCTCAAGAGGAAACTCAGAGCTCCTGGAAGCAATTGAAACCCAGAAGAGTAGGAGGGTATAGACTCAAGGAAGATGTCTTGAGGTAAATTGGGGGAAAAAATGACCAAGACAAAGCCAAAGGTGAATAATGAACTGTGGAAGATTCCTACCATGGGACAATATCTTCTCACCTGTAGAAACTGATATTTCTAAGAATGAGTTATATAATGGAAAAGAAGAGAGCCAGTGGGCAAAGTCTACAAGGCAATAAACAAAACTGTATTTTTTAAAATATTTTTAGTTTTCAACATTCACTTCCATAAGGTTTTGAGTTTTAAATTTTCTCCTGCTCCCTCTCTCCTCCCAAGATGGTGTGCAATCTGATACAGGCTCTACTTATATACATTCATATTAAGCATATTTTCCCATTAGTCATGA